GGGAATCACGATGCTGACTTGATATGTGATGTATAGCTCCGTAGTGTTCTTCAGCTTGAAGCCGGCGAGCAGGTCGTCTTCGAGCGCTATTCCGACTCAGCCGCCTCATATGTCACCCTTGACGCGGACAAGCCCCAGGTCTACAAGACGCTCTTCCGCGCCGCAAAGGCGAAGCTCAAGTTGCGTCTGAGGGCCACAGTCCCCGGCGAAGAGCCCGTGGCTGCGCCCGCACCTACACCAGCGCCAAACCACGTCATCCGACACTACCAGCCCACTGCCCACCCTGTGAGCACCGAGACTCTCATTCCTCAAGGCGGCGCTCCCGTCTCTCCGGTCATTGCCCGCTCGCCAGAAATCAAGCCCACCGAGAGCACCAGCCCTGTATCGCCACCAACGACCGTAGATGCTGACGGCGAGGCTCCCGTACCGCAAGCCTTCACCGCTCGTCAGAGTAAGCAGCAATTCCACATGTCCATGTCGCACGATCATTGGCTAATGCAGTGTACAGGCTTCTTCAACAACCTCGCAACTGCGAACTACAACTCCGGCCTCGCATTCCGCCCTAAGCCGAGCAACGCCTGCACTTCGTGGGTCGTATACTGCAACAACTGCAACGAGCCCATGGAGGACGAGCACTTCCACTGCAGTGTATGCGACGGTGGTGATTACGATCTCTGCCCGGCCTGCGTAGACAACGGGATCCACTGTCCCGGAAGCGGCCACTGGATGGTCAAGCGTTTCGTCAAGAACGGCAGCGTCGTCAACAGCACCACCCAGCGCATCGCACCCAAGGTCAAGGCCGAGGTCGAGGAGCCCCAACAACAGGAGATTCCAGGAGCCTTTACCGACGAGAAGCAGTCCGTCACATATGAGGAGGAGCCAACCCGCACCTGCAACTGCTGCGTCAAGGTCCTCCCCGAGAAGGAGTTTGTCACCTGCGTTCCTTGCGAAGACTACGACCTCTGCCTCACTTGCCATGTTAGCAACAAGCACGGTCACCACCCTGGCCACACCTTCAAGCCTGCCACGTCCGAGACTGTCCTGCCCACCCTGGCCGATTTCTTGTGCAATTCTGGCAGGAACGTCCGCCACAACGCCGTCTGCGATGGCTGCGACAAGTTCATCTACGGTGTCCGCCACAAGTGCTTGAACTGCCCAGACTGGGACTACTGCTCCGACTGCCTCAAGAACGCCAAGTTCATCCACCCGCGTCATCGCTTTGTACCCATCTACGAGCCATTGGCTGAGCCTCTGAACAGCGCAAACCGCCACTACGGCATCTACTGTGACGGTCCTCTCTGCAAGGACAAGGAGAATCTGTCGTACATTGACGGCGTCCGCTACAAGTGCGCTGTTTGCCACGATACCGACTTCTGCCAGAACTGCGAGGCCCACCCCAGCAACAAGCACAACCACACTCACCCGCTCATCAAGTTCCAGACTCCTGTGCGCAGTGTTAGCGTTACTACCCTCAACGACGACAAGCAGCGCAAGTCTATGGCTAGACTCGGCGACCGCATGTGCGATAGGCGATCTACCTCAACTGAGACTGCCCCAGTCGCTCCTTCCACCAATGCTGCGACCCAGGTCCAGACCATTGTCGACGTAAAGCCCTCGGCCGAGCCCCAGGCCAAGAAGGAGAAGATCGCTATTCGTGATCTCCTCGTCGACTCTGTTGAGCCGGTGCAAGAGAAGCCTACCGTGCCCGTCCAGGTCAAGGCGCCAGTCAAGACTGAGGCTATTCCCATCCCTAGGTCAGAGCCTGCCACCGAAGGCCTCGACGCGCACTTCATCCGGGACACCATCATTGATGGCTCCAAGATCTGTGCTGGTCACCAGTTCGTTCAGGTCTGGACTCTTCGCAACCCTGGCCCCAACGCTTGGCCACGAGGCTGCAGCGTCCGACACGTTGGTGGTGACAACATGCTCAACATCGACAACACCCGTCCTCTGAGCCACGTTGAGCTTGCTGAAGCTAGCGAGAGCAACGTGCTCGGCCACACTGTCGAGGCCGGCGAGGAAGCCCAGTTCCGTGTTCTCATGAAGGCACCCCAGCGCGAGGGCACTGCCATCTCCTACTGGCGCCTGAAGACCCCCGAGGGTATGCCCTTCGGCCATCGCCTCTGGTGTGACATTGCAGTCGTTGCCGTGCCCTCGCCTGTCGCCGCTCAGCCAGCTATCCCCATGCCAGTCCAGGTTCCTACTCCCGCATCCGGCTCAGCCACCACGTTCGAGGTGGCTCCTAGATCGAACCCTCTGTACGACCGCCTCCTACAGGCCAGGGCTGAGCGCATGAAGCAAATGCAACACACTCAGCAACAACAATTGCAGAAGATGAAGGATGCACACCACTCTCTGCAGCAACAGCTGGATCAGCAAAAGATGGAGCGTGTTCAGCGTGTACGCAAGGCTGCCATGGAGCGTCTCATGGAGGGCCGCCGCAAGGTGCACGAGGAAGCGAACCGTCGCAAGGAACACGAGGCTGCCCTTGCTACGATCAAGCAGGAGCCAGTTGCTTCTCCCAAGGAGGAGGTCAAGGTCGAAGAGCCAGTTGCCGAACTCCCAGTCGAGGAGAAGCAGTCTGCATCTGAGCCCATCGCTTCCGGCATGATCTTCCCTCAGCTAGACAAGGAGTCTCCCGAGTCGAGCACTTACGAGTCATCCACTACCGCTCAGCCCGCCTCTCCATCTGAGAAGAGCACCGTTGCACGTACTGTCACTGTTGCTTCAGATGACGAGTTCTTTGAGGATGCTGAGAGCGTCGCCCTGATGTCCGACGATGGCTTCATGACCGATGAGGAGTACGACATCCTCGATGCTAGCGACGAAGAGATGCAGTAAGCGGTCTGATAGGTGTCAGCGAGAGCTGCCATATTTCGTGACCACAAAGGTAGGCAAAGTGTTCCTGGTTGGTGTCTAAAGCGTTCGATTTCTGGGTACTGGGGGCGTCAAAAGGAATGGACTGGAGAACATCGCGATCACACAACATTCCCTATACAGAGAAGGCGCTGGAGCGTGCTTCGATACACCTCGACGGGACATGTGAGTAGGGTGCTTCATTGCCTCTGGCTCGGTTACGGCTCTCCTACTTGGCTCAATTTGATCTTTCCTTTCATGTCTTCTATATGTGTAGTAAATCAATGGTAGTTTTCTTGAAGACGCCTCGTAACAACGTGACACATGCGAAGTCCGATTAACCAGCAACACACCTGGGCATGCCTAGATCTTGATCGATTGCGGGCGGAGCATGACTAAGCCAGGGTCTTCTAGCGCGGCCATGCTAGCGAAAAGTGCCCCAGAAAAAAGTTCGAGCCGCAAAGTATCGATACGCAACACCACCCACGCTACAATGTCGTCAGATACAGAGATGTCCTCGGCGGAAGAGATTGCCGTCGTCTCCAAGAAGGAGCGTCGCGACAAGAAGGAGAAAAAGGACAAAAAGGAAAAGAAAGAAAAGAAGCGCGCGAGGGCCGAGTCGAAGGCTGAAGTCGCAGAGTCCGATAGCGAAGACGCAGCAGAGACACCCGCAAAGAAGCGCAAGCGCGAAGCATTGCCCGAAGAACTCGAGATCGATGTCAACCTCCCCGAACCCGCCTCCAAGAAAGCCGCTCGTAAAGCAAAGAAAGCCAAGCTGAATCCGACACCCGCCGCCAACGCAGACGGAGAAGCATCGGTCGCGAAGACGGATGCGAAGACAGACGCAAATTCAGCTGAAGACAGGGAGAATGCCGCAAAGCGCTCGGAATACGGTGTATGGATCGGCAACTTGCCTTGGTCTGCTACGAAGGAGTCGCTACGAAAGTTCTTGACGGACAACACTGAAATTCCCGACGACCAAATCACTCGCATTCACATGCCCCCTCCCACAAGACCGCCGCCCCCGAGTTGGACTACAAAGCCAATGAATAAGGGTTTCGCATACGTTGACTTCTCTACTGAGTTGTCAATGTACTCGGCGATTGCGCTGACGGAAATGAAGATGGATAACCGCGCGCTGCTGATTAAGAACGCGAAGAGCTTCGACGGGCGCCCAGACAAGCCCAAGACGGAAGAGACTCAGGACAATGGACGTGGCGCCAAGGATGCGAAACCGAAGAACCCTCCCAACAAGCGCGTGTTCGTCGGAAACCTCTCCTTCGACGTTACCCAGGAGGATCTCAAGAATCACTACGCACCATGCGGAAGAATCGATAATATACACATGGCAACGTTTGAAGATTCTGGTAAATGCAAGGGCTTTGCCTGGGTCACTTTCAGGGACGTAGAAGCTGCGACAGCAGCGGTTAGGGGATTTGTCTTCAAAGACCCATCGGCGTTCAAGAACAAGAAGGACAGGGACGAGAGCGATTCCGAAGTCGATACCAGCAAGCCCGTGAAGCAAAGGAAATGGCTAGTCAACAAGCTCATGGGCAGAGAGTTACGTCGCGAGTTCGCCGAAGACAACCATACGAGGTATCACAAGCGATTTGGCCATGAGAAGGAGGGCGCGGATGGAGAGAATGCAGGTCGCGAGAGGGGCTTCGGCAGAGGAGGAGGTCAAAGAGGAGACAGGCAAGACTTTGGAGACAGCAATGGCGGACGGGGTGGCAAGCGAAAGGTCGACCCGAGGAATATCAAGAGTGGAGCTGCTCATATGAGTACCCAGAGGGCGAGTCAAGCGATTGTTGAGTCGCAGGGCAAGAAGACTACTTTTGATTAAGCATAGACGCTGTAGTTGGAAAGAAATGTTCAGGGCACACTTTGAGCAAGAGCCAGTCGTGGTCCACCGCACGTTCCTGCTGCGCATTGTGAGACCAGCAGGTGGTTGGCGCATGGCTACAACTGTCATCACCCACCTCTCTATCCTCTCCTCGTTCCTCAAAACAACTCTAATACTATTGCTACACCCTAAAAGCGACTCATCTCGACCAACCTATATACCACCTTCTTACCATATATCTCTCTTGTCTCACCACAATCCAAACCCCCAACCTTCCAACCACCCACCTCCACCTCCAAAAATGTCAAACCTAAAACGCATATCCATCCTCCCCAATCCCACCTGCGAACGCGCCGGCCTAAAATCCTACGCCTCCCTCCTCCGCAAATACGACTTCGCGCCCACCACCGAAGGGCCCTTCCAAGTCCTCGACGTCGCCACGAAATCCGTAAAGAACCTGTTCAAACCCACGGCTAAAAAAGAAACGAAACCGGTTCTGCGCAAGATTGAAGAGGAGGGCAAACCGGGCGAGGTCAAAGCGGAAGACCAGCAGAATGATGCGTTGTATATTTGTCCGGTGGAGATTGGAACGCCGCCGCAGGTGATGAATTTGCATTTTGATACTGGGAGCAGTGATCTTTGGGTACGTCTCTGTTTTCCGGTTGGGTTTGGTGGGAAGATGGGGAAGCTGATGTATGTCGCGATGTAGGTGTGGTCTACGCTTTTAGATCCTGCGACGAAGAAGGCGGCGGTGAGCGGGAAGACGAAACACAATATTTTTGATGCAAAGGCTAGTGAGACGTTCAAGAAGGTTGAGGGTTCGAGTTGGAGGATCAGGTATGGAGATGGTGAGTTTCTTCCCTTCCCTTGCCTTTACCGACTCATCCAGTCTTACCACATAATGACCTCTTATCTCACTACGATGTACAGGCTCCACAGCATCCGGCATCGTCGGCACAGACAACGTGACCCTCGGCGGCCTATGCATCGAGAACCAAGCCATTGAACTCGCCAACAAACTCAGTCCGCAGTTTACCTCCGGTGCAGGAGACGGACTATTAGGTCTAGGGTTCGGACACATCAATACTGTCAAGCCGAAGAAAGTGGCTACGCCTGTTGAATCGGTCAGTTCACTTCCCTATGTTCACCAACACCCCTTCTTTTCTTTCCGTCATTCTTCATTTCTGAGCTTTGGCACCGTTAACACTCTTATATAGATGATCTCCCAATCCGACATCCCCACCTCCAGCGAACTCTTCACCTGCTACCTCGGCTCCTGGCGCGACACGTCCGACCTCGACGCCGGAGAATCCTTCTACACATTCGGCTACATCGATGACACCGTCCTCCGCCGCTGCGGCGTCTCAGAACCCCACTACGTCCCCATCGACTCCTCACGCGGGTTCTAGCAGTTCCCCTCCCCCACCGCCGTACTCAACGGCGAGACGATCCAACGACCACCTGGAAACACGGCGATTGCAGACACAGGAACTACACTGGCGCTGCTGGATGATGCGTTGTGTGAGAAGATATACAGTACCATCCCTGGTGCGGTGTTCGATAAAGCGCATCAGGGTTGGGTTTTCCCCTCAGGGACTAAAGTCACGGAATTACCTACGCTGGCGCTAGCGGTCGGTGACAAGGTGTTTGAAGTCCAGAAGGAAGATTTTGGGTTCGCGAAATGTGGGGGTGGGATGCAGTATGGTGGGATTCAGTCGAGGGGCAAGAGCGATTTTGATATTCTGGGCGATACGTGGCTAAAGGGGGTTTATGCGGTGTTTGATCAGGGGAGGAAGAGGTTTGGGGTTGTGCAGAGGGTGGAGGGGGTGCAGAATCTGGAGGCGCCGAAGTAAAGGGGTGGGTTGGGGGATTGTTTAGTCCTGTGGCTTTAGATTGTAGTAGATGGTAGGTGGTATCAATTGGCTCTGATTCATGATTGAACTCCACTATCCCATGTCATCATTCATTGTGTTTGACATGCGAATTTACGGCGCAGCAGCATTCGCGGCCAACCACTGTCCAAACGCTGCCGCATTCCTCGTCTGCATGAACACAGTGCCCGGTCCCGTGAATTTGCATACAAGGCCCTCACCCGCCGTCATGTTACTGATGATACCACCACTAGCAACACGCTCGAGGACGTATTTACAGTTCCACGCGACGAGGTGACCGTTATCGATGATGTATTTCTCGTTGGCAGCAAGCTAGAGGAATCAATAAAGTTAGCACTTCGTTCATCTGGCATGGAGATGGATGAATGGAAACTTACATCCTTCCTGATGATCGCGCCAAAACTCGTCACCCAAAGCACACCCGTCCCACTAATTTTGTATACGAACAGTCCCTCACCACTGAACATGGCTTTGCCGATTCCCTGACTCTTATACTCCGTCACAATGCCCTGTGTGCAAGCCAGGAAAGCGTCGCGGCCCACCGACCATGTCTCTTTTCCACCGAGCTTGATAATTGTGATGTCGCCGATGGAAGGAGGGGCGAGAAGAAGTTCACCGGGACCCGTGTATGTGGATTTGGACATGTCGCCGCCCATGAGCGCTTTCTTCAGGGAGAACTTCAGGTTGCCTTTTAGCGTCATGGTGTGGGACATTGCTATCATCGCGCCTGGGGTTGTGTTAGTCATTCGTTCTTTGCATCTTTCACTCGCTATAGTAGCGAAATACGGATCTTGTATTGGAAGACTCACCAGGTTTAGCAGTAAAAGGACATCCAATGGCTAACTGCACGGTGAGAATAGAGTTCGTGTCCCTGTGGCTCACGCGGTAGCTTCCTCCATTGAAAGTTCCCACGTCGTCTGCTGAGGCACTTGCAGGTGATGTGTGTGCTGCCGCGCCCGCGCCTACGTACTGCGGTTGCTGGGGTATGCTCTGCTGGCTCATCTGCGACTGGTGGCCCATGCCCGGATGACCAGTCTTCTCAGCAGGGTATCCTGACGGAGTCGCACTCGGGCTTCCACCGGGGAATCCACCAAAGCCAGGGCTCATCGGTTGCTGTGGCTGTTGTTGGGGCTGCTGCTGCTGGAAAGGCGGGGGCGGCGATTGCGCTTGGCCTGGGGGCGGGAAGTGCTGTTGCTCGGGTGGCGGCGCATATTGCTGTTGCTCAGGAGGCGGCGCATAGTGTTGTTGTGGAGCGGCATTTCCACCTGGCGGAGGTGGGTAGTGTTGTTGCTGCTGTTGGTGTGCGGGAGGGGATGTAGGTGGTGGAGGGTAGGACTGGCCGCCTGGCGGAGGCGCATAGTACTGCTGCTGGCCCTGTTGGTCTGGTATATGTCAGAGGAATGTTTAGGAGGAGAGATATCGTAGTGTTGGAAGGCTGGAGAAAGAGCGTTCGGTGTATGATGGGATGAATGCAGATGGTGTAGATGTACCTGGCGGTGCTACTTCTCGTCAGTTTAATTTCACACACTTTGCGACACGCGACTCACGAGGGTAGTAGTTCCCGCCCGGTGGTGGAGTTCCCTGATAACCCGACATATTCAAGCTTGCGATCCTAAGGCGACGAGTTGACGCGACTGCAGTTGGGTCTCAGAGAACAAGGTAAGGGGATGTTAGCAGCAACCACGCGCAATGTAGGAGAGAGGAGAGGAGCGGAGAAGGAATTAGATTAGTCTACGGAAGCATCAGCACCATAAGCAGTATAAACGTTTTAACCGCGCGCCCCGTTGGTGTCTCCTTGGTCAAGCTGCTCAGCCTCCAGCGCGCAGCTGCTGGCTAGCGGGGTCTCTCGAGCCGCCGAATCAGCGCCCCGCTTCCCTCGCTCTGGCCTACGCGCCAAGCCTGTGCCACGGGTGAGTAAGAGAATAGCATAAAGTCGTTCATGCGTGTGCAGCTATTTTGGATCAAGAGATTCGAGTTGGCCAGAAACAAACATGTTCGCATGTCCTCATGATGCAGGGGAGCTCCGGGAGGCACCGTAGCTATCAGGGTCCACTTGCGACCGACCTAAGCGCCCACGATATCTCACATGCTAGTCTGCATCTTATTTCCCAGCGCGTATATTAGCTATCACATATCACGCATGTACTGAGCATATTCGTCTTCAACGTCTATTAGACTATCTCTTTTGACTCGTCTCAATGTACATGAACCATCCCACGGACATTGCTTGAATCATCATGACCGTTCATACCGCCGAAAAGCGTCATAACAGCAACAGTCGTAGCGCCCGCTGATCGAGAAGCCCCAGCCCAAGCCATGCATAACATTGAACATCGTAAAGCGCATAACATCAATTCCTCTAACCCACCATTCTCCGCCTCTTTCCGATCTGGGCCGAGAAACCAGTCTTGATGGCCTGTACCGAACGTCTCGATCCGCAGCTGTTGCAGGTGACGAAGTTGAGACGGTTCTCACCCTTGGAGAGGTCGGTGTCGGGCGAACGGCAGGTCTTGCAGGTAACGTATTCGACAATGTATCGTCGGAGGACGTTCTCGAGTTGCTTCTGCTGGAAACGACCCTTGATGACCAGGCGCTTCTGGTCGGCGAATGAACCGCTCGTACCCAATTCAGCGAACAGGAACTGAGCAACGTGCTCGTCGGAACGCTTCATACGCTTGCAAATCTCGGCAAGGTTGGCGAAGACGGTCTTCTTGTTTCCTTCGCGCATGCACTGTGGGGGCGGGATCTTGTAGCTCTTTGTGCCCGAGCTGGCGAGGTCGGGATGTTGTGCGTGGAGGAGCGTGAAGAAGCGGTTCAGGAGGAGGTTGTACGAGATGGGGGTCGTCGAGTTGTGTTCCCAGATGCCGGTGCCCTTCATCATGTCGCCTTCTTGTACTTCGGGCTCGGGAGCAGCGACCTCCTCCTCGCCTTCGGGCTTGTCGCCGCCGGCAGCAGCGAGCTTGGCCTCGAAGTCGTCCTCGACTTTCTTCTTGCTGGACTTCTTCTTCTTCTTCAGCGCGGCGAAGTCGCCCTCTACGCCGTCCTCTTCCTCGCCTTCCTTCTTCTTGGAGGACTTCTTCTTCTTCTGTTGCATTTGTCAGAAAGATGTCGATGGTCGCACAGGCCTTTGCGCCTCACCTTCTTTGCGAGATCAGCGAACATGTCGGTGACCTCCTCGACCTCTTTGTCGTCGCCTGTAGCCCCGCTTGTCAGCGACTGATGTATTTCCAGTGTGTGGTCCATCTTACCAGCACTCGCGGCGTGGCCCTCAGCGGAGTCCTTGTCGCCGTTCATCTCTAGTGATTCGGTAACGTCGCCGTTGCTGTCGACAATCGTAGCACCTTCGGAAAATTGGACCGACTTGCGGGGTTTGCGGTCAGGGAGATCGGCCTGTGTAGGTGTCCGTTAGTATGTCGCTCTTTGTAGGGAAGTAGGAATAAGTCCCAGCTAGGAAGCTGGCATGCAGCAAGCCCACTTTCAAGGCACAGGATATTTCGAAAGCGAACGTGGGGCTGTGACGTACAGAATCAGCCATGATTGCGGTTGCACTCGAGTTTTCGATCTTCAGTGAGTTCTGGGGATGTTCTGGTATCGATTCGGAGTACGTAGTGATATGTAGGCGTGGTGAGTCGAAGAGTTAGGCAGGCGGTCACCCCAAAGTTCGCCGCAACACATGTGTGAGTCGAACGCTGAGTGCCAAGATTTGCGTCACGTGCCGGCTGCCGCTAAGCCCCACCTCCGCTCATTGGCTGGAGCCCTCCGACACCATTCACCGAACGCGCCTCTACCACAGCCGTCGCGATCCCGTCACTATCGCCAATGCTGCTACGGTAGTCCGCCGATCCAGTCATACATCCACCACCCTCTCCTATCAACGATCCAACACCACCGCCGCCATGTCCCTGAGCAATAGCGAGAGCTTCATCGAGCCATCCTCCAACGACGAGGTCGATTCGTTACCATCCTCGGCAACAAGCTCCTCAGCCGATGAGGAAGAATACATGTCAGACGCGGACAGAGAATGGAAAGAGTCGCTGCAACAATTGGAGCTGCTGTTGACAATGGTCATGGTGCCATATCTGGGGAAATACTTTGGCAGAAAGGCCGCATACTGGGGTACGTCATCTTCAAGGTTAGATGACCGGATATATGACAGGTAGCTAACATCTTTGCAGGATGGGCCAAGTTCATGGAATGGAAATACCCCGTCGAGATCGTTTTCTCGAGTCCGAAGACGTTCAAGCTGGCTGGAGCTGTTGAGGCAGCAGCCACACTATGAGCGCTTTACACTACTTCGGCGGCTTCACACAATCAAGCATCGGCGTTTATGGCGTTGTATCCATCAGATATCCACACACATTGGACGCCACTTGTACATACCACTCTATTACCACGACATATCGAACACATATATTACAAGGCAAAGGGCACTCGCCCAACCTCTACTCAAGAATCTCCCCGTTGAGAATCGTCCTCCCATAAGCATCATGGTGCCAATGGTCACCCTCCCGGGTAGTAAGTCGGTCCTGCATATGCTTTGTGTCTATTCCGCCATCCTTGGCATGTATCTCCTCCATCTCCTGCCTCTTCTTGCTCTTGGGCTTCCCTTCTTTGATGCGTAGCTTCTCAAAGTAGACGTACGAACCATAATAGAGGCCGGATGTGTTGCCGTTCAACGCCCCTTTCTTGCTGCGAAAAGCAGAGAGTTGGCGCGCGTTGAGGGTCTTGGATGGGTTGTGGAAGGACGCTGAGGCTGCGCGAAGGAATGCAGCCTGGGTTACCCCGGGTTTCTTGAGGTGTGCGTTGATCTTATGGCGGACGTCGTCACATGTATCTATCAGCGTGTCAGTCCTCAGACCTCTCCCGTCAGGGTGGTGCGAAAGCTTACCGTATACTGGTACTTTATCTTCCTCCTCGAAATCCAGCTCAACATCATCAACACTAGGCACACTATCCTTCGCCGCGACTCCTTCATTCTTCTTCGCCTTCTTGTTCGCAGTCGTCTTGATGCCCGCCATCTCGCGCTGCTGGAAGAACGCGTACGCTGCCGGATATACAGAAGACTCGACTCCCTTGTCCTTCCCATGCTGGCTCATAAATCGCGAGTACGCATTGGGGGTAATGCCAACTGCCTTTTGAAACTCGCCCACTTTCATTTCGCCATTGTCGATCAAGGTGCGTATCTTACGCCTGCATACAAATCAGACACTATACGCAGATCATGGAAGATCGGAGATGTTCATGGCGGCACGTCAACCTAGGAGAAAACTGAACAGGTCTGCAGCCTACATCAACATAGAAACCTACAAAGTAGGTGGCCTAACATCGACGTAGGCTCTAGACCTGTTCGTTTTTTTTTCCTTCGTATGAGGTGGCGGCGTAGAAACACGCAACGCGCGCATTGTTACTAAAGGAATAATCGCATACCGTAACACATCGCAACTCTCTGTCACAGGCCTGTTCTCAAGCTCGAAACTTATTTCGTCATCATCGATGATGTGGGTGCGACATATGTGAGTGCGATATAGGCTGGTTCGGCATAGGCTGGTTCGGCATAGGCTGGTTCGGCATAGGCTGGTTCGGCATAGGCTGGTTCGACATAGGCGGGTGCGACATATGCTGATTCGACATAGGCGGGTAGGACGGAGTTTGGTTCTCCATAGTCGGCGTCGGGTACGGGTTCATATACGCCATATTCAAACTGCGCTATTACGTTAACCTAGGGAAAACCTGAACAGGTCTGGAGCCAACATCGACGTTAGGCCACCTATTTTGTAGGTTCTCTTCTTAATGTAGCCTTTAGGGTGTTCAGTTTTTCCCTTGTATGTATGAGGTACTATCCTAATGTAATTGTATTCCAACACCAATATATAGCGACGATCGTTGGAGGGCAATAGGGTGGCAAAAACGCAGTTTCAGAGGGAAATAGTAGAGATGAATGAGAAAGGGCGGCATTGCGATCACCCCATCCTTATGACGTCTTGTTGCGACGCGTCTGTGTTTTGCGCTAGTGGGCGGGGAAAGCACGAACGCGTTCTCAGGGGGGCGAGTATCAACATCGTGATCGGACCTGCAAGATGCTGTCCAAGTCGACGACTCGCTCACTTCTTTGAAAGCGCAGCATGATTTTATTCAAGTGATTTCACTGTTGCGACTTGACGGCGTGGAACACAGAGAACGTCTTTCACAACGGCCGAGCATCTGCCATCAAGACAGACCACCACGAGTAAATCGGTCGTGACTCGTTGGATAGTAAGCACAACCCCAAAAGAAAGCAGCGCATTTCGATAACGGCGCATGATGACTCCAGAATCTTCGCTGGCCATTGCTTTTCAATAAGTTTTTCACTCTCCAGGACTGTTCATTCGCTGACTGAAACGGACGTTAGGCACTTGAACCGGGGGGTGTATGTGTATACAACATGAAAGCGCAGCACTATCCATAATCACGCCGAAACACGACAAGCCGCGAAATTAGACACGGCACAGACTCATAGTCGATCATGCTATCTCACAGTAGTAAGAGTAGGTCAGTTCACACCCTGTGTTGTGCCTTACCAACGCGTGTAGTGCGCCGTGCAAGGAAACTTGTCCCGGAGGAAGCCACCTGCGCGTACGGCAAGTCGAAAGCCCTAGGCAACTTCAGCATTTAGCATCACAGGAATACACTTGGACAGATCACAGAACCGGGCTTCAACTCAGTGCATCAAGTAACACCAGTGCTACTCAAACACGTCTCTTCGGAAATGAGGAGCGTTCAAGACCTCATCAACTATGACGGTAAGTTACGCTCGCCAATTCGTCCATGCAGCTGCTCCGCGGCGGCACCCGAAGGATTCGAGAGCCTCGCTTCGTCCAACACTCCGATGCGTACTCGAAGGATGCCTTGCGCGGGCAAAGAGGAAGCACCGTCCTCGTAACGAGTGTCGGCACAACAAGTCATGAGCATCCTTCGACAGGCTGACAGCCGATGTTAGCGATCACACATTGACTACTGGAGAGGCGACTAAGAACCAGACAGAGAACGAGAGCGCGCATGCGACAGTTCTTAGTACTAAGATATATTGTTATTCAAGACGCTATGGTTTCTAGGGTATCAGATCATCAGATCAGACGCGAGCCATTATTTACAAGACTTGTTGGCGAAACATGAGACGCTGCGGCCTTATACACGGCACAAGCGACCGTTTTGGGTTTGAGTACCTTGCTCACCATCCCTGACTTCCCAGTCCTCACTACCAACAGCAGTGGTGGCATAAAAGACGCCCTTAGGATCCCACCTCTTCTTGATAGCGAGCAGCTTCGGGTAGTGCTTTGCGCCATAGAAGTCGGTTTGCCAGTTTGGCTCCTGGATATCTGCCTCGTTGAGATAGACACCGCCACCCTCAGACGCCGGAGCGACTGCACGCCACGAGTCCATGATGTCGTACGTAAGGTAGTCGGATGCTTCCTTCAATTGAGCCGGCGTCGCGTTCTCAGGAACCATATTAGCGGTGATCAAGAAAGACTGGGTGTTGCGCCAGGCCTCATTGACAGCGTTGTCAACCTTGAAAGGGTTACCTGGAGCCATGTGGTAACCACCGACCGTATGACCATTCATCACTGTGTCCTGGATAGTGGTGTAGAAAGAGTTGAATTTCTCTTCGGTTGCCCAAAGGCTCTTGGGGAAGAGACGGGTAGCTTGACGGATGGTGGTCACGCCAAGTGTATCCGCGCCCCATGAGCCTTTGTTGGCAGAGTAGAAGTCGTCGTGGTAGGTCGTATTAGGGGTTGCCGAGATGTTGAAAGACTTGAGGTCGGCGAAGAAGTCCTTCGTAAGCGCGTTGAAGGACTCAATAGTGTGGTTTGGCGCAAAGAAGGGAGTCATCTGGAAGTCGAGCGTCGTACCGTAGTTCCAGATCCAGAAATACGAATAGGTACCAGCGTTGGTGAACTCAGGGAATCGCTTCATGTAAGCGTTGATGCCCTTCCAGAAGTTGGCAGAGTCGTTGACTGGGGCCTGGAAAGAGAAGACAGACTTGGTAACGTGGATTCTTGGATGGGCTTTGGCGATAACTGAAGTCACAACACCAAAAGTTCCACCGCCTCCTCCGCGAAGGGCCCAGAAGAGATCGGAGTTCTTAGAGTCAGAGGCAGTAACGAAACGCCCGTCGGCGGTGACGACCTCAAAGGCGAGAACTTGGTCAGCGGCCATGCCGTAGATGGATGCGAGAGGTGAGTGACCACCTCCGGTGATATAGCCACCACTCCATCCAACAGTCTACGTTCAAGGTTAGTGGCTGCGACTGCAAAACGTTGCATATCATGGCGACTTACTTCACAGATCCCGGTCATGACAGTCACATCGTGTTCGCGAGCAGCTTCCAGAATCTCAAACCCTTGGACACCAGCACCAGCTTTGAAAGCTGGGCCAGTGTATCCAGCCGACTTGTACTGCTTGATGAACTGGATGTCCTTGAGATTGTGCGTCCATAGGTTGAGCGCACCTGCGCCAGAAGACTTCCCGATATAATCGTGGCCAGTGTTCTTGACGGTCAGCCTGAGGTTCATGTTGCGAGCAAAGTTGACACCAAGCTGCACCTGGGCAACATTCTTGACGTCGATTGAGTAGGATGCGTAGCCGCCTAGCGTACAGGTGCCGCTAGGATCATCGGTAGGCATGCATGTACGGCCCTGGAAGAGCGGCCACATCATCGAAGTTGGGTCACTCGTACTAATCATGACGGTCAGCGAACTGTATCCTGCGATGTATGGCAACTTCACTTACTGAAGATCGGATGTGGTGAATCTGGCTGAGATGTCTGCGCACTTTGCCTCATCATAGTCACTCCAGGCCGAATTCGCATAGCATGGCGCAGCGATGGGTGTCGTCTTGATGAGTGCTCCTCCAAGTAACAGGTCGAAGATGGACCACATCCACTCCTTGGGGTACTTCGAGTCGCCTGGAAAAGCTTTGCATTGACTGCTTTTGATGGCACGCTTTGCCACGGCCGTGGTATCCTCATCACCGTCGAAGCCGAAGACAGCAGCAACGTCGACCTCAGTGGTCTGGCTGTCAGCTGTCTTCAATGCCGCGTCGGTCAATTGCACTGCCTCCTTTGGGAACAGCGGAACTCCAGCCGACGAATCCGTGGAGACGGTAGCGGCAGCAGGTGCGACATCACGTACGGCGACAGGGCTACCAAGAGCGCCGATGGCGTTCGCAGCAAGAAAGAACAAAGAGCCACGTGCAGACATAGCGAAAGGACTGCAAGCCAACAAAAGCGAAAGCGATGGTGATGAGAACTGCATCTCGTCTACACACGAAGTGTCTCTAATAAATGAATGAACTCCCACGGGGCGCTAGGTCAGACGATTTGTTCGAGAACCAAGCATCGAACCACATGGCAGATGCATGAGAGGCAAATATCGGAAAGATCGTTGCGGTCCTTGCAGTATGCAGGTTGTTGTATCTACATTAGTCGTAGTTAACGTCCGAGTGTAGTTGCCGTCTTTCGCACAATTTCCCCCTTCCCCTACGGCCCGCCCGGTCGGTGCCGTTAACTCCGCGAATGGGATCGCTTCCAAGCTGCTTAGGGTCTGCATTCAACCACAAACTCAACATGGAAGGTACCTTCGGGTTCTCGGCATCTGCACATCTTTGCGGTTCACGGACTGGCCATCTCTAAGCGAAGAGGGCTTCGGTAAGGGTTCTCAGCCGCGTCTGGCCCCACACGACTGTGCCACAGCGGAGTCGTGACTACGCGAGCTTCGGGACAATATACAATGTTGGAAGTAGAGATCATCCAAAATACGGGTTGTTGGCTAGCCACGTAAATCCTCGACAAACTTGTGGCGAGGCACTGGTGGTATTTGAATTGGAAACGACACTGGAAGGAGGGTACAATCCCCGAGAACAAAATGAAGCTTTCACTGCCGCTTCCAATTTGTCGATAATCCTTGACTGGCTAGAACGAAGGATTCCATCCTGTTCACCGCACCTTTCCACAATCGCCACCGAGGAGCAAAGCACACGGGACAGAACATCCAACGAACGCCACCGAGTCCGGACTAAAACGTCATTGGGTGCTGCAACGAGTTCACAAGGGACTTTACCGAGACTCCTCTCGGATGGCTCCCCGAGAACCGGCTACAGTCGAGGCTCATTTGCTGTCTCGCGAAGCAGGATTGCAGTGACGAGACGCGTCCAGGAAATGGGGAATCTGAATCCTCATTGTGAGAGCAATCATCTTAACCGATGCCAGTGTTATACATGCTTGAGCCCTTCCTTAGGCATGATTTTTGTGTTTACACAAGTCAATAATGGCGAACACAGGCTTGCAACCAGTCAATCTGTTCTTGGCTATCTTTCCAAGCATTTGTTGCGTTTTCATTGTGTCCGTTCGCGTCGTATTGAGGCTTAAGGGAGGGAAGTTGGGTATCGGTGAGTTTGACTGATGGAAGAGAAAACTCTGTCACTCACACATCCTTTCAGAAGATACACTTTTAGTCGTCGCAACTGTAAGATAATGCCTCAAGTTAAGACGTTAGAGTATCTCTAGATGACTGACGTATCGCAACATAGCTTCTGAACCTCGTTCTCTCTTTCACGACATGCGGCTGTGTGTATACCCATATCTCACAACGGGTAGAAGCCATACTTGTACATACAGCTGACATAGCTTTGCAGACATACTCACCAGCTATTACGGCTACCACACCCGCGATATACCGGATGGTGCAGTTGATCCAGTCCTGATGATGAAGGTACGCTCAATCAAATATACCATCGCTATGTGGCGAATGAGTCTGACTTCTTCGCAGTGGAACTATGCAAACTCGGTCATCTACAACCCTATTCTTGCTTTGGTCAAAGTCTCGTTCCTGATGACGCTCATCAAACTCCGATCGCAAAACAAGTGGATAAATCGTTGTCTATGGGGAACACTCATCATCAATGGTTGTTTCGCCATTGCTGCACCTCTCGCTTGTATCTTCCAATGCAACCCGATATCCAAATACTGGGATGCTAGTATACAAGGGCGATGCGTTGACGCTGGCGCCTACACGGTCAGCACGTCGTCGATTGTGCTCACAACCGACGTTCTGGTCCTGCTTATGCCTTCATGGATTCTGCACGACCTGAAGATGCCACTTGGTCGTAAGCTCATGGTCATTGCTTTCTTATCGTTTGGAGTTCTCGTCACCGTGGTTGGTGTGGTGCGTACGAGTGTTCTCGTCAAGGTGTTTGTCCTGGAACAATTCAAGGCCGATCCGACATACGAAGTTGGCTACACCCTCTCGAACATCGAGTCTGGTCTTGCGATCATTGGAACTTGCGGCCCAACGATCAAATATCTTCTCAGTTGCTGCATCCCTTCACTCAAGAACGCAGACGAATCGAGCAATCGCCAATATATCTACCCTACTGTCGGCTCTCAAGGAGACGCTCGTTCGAAACGCTTCACGAGAAACACGAAGACCCACAACACGGTCAGAGAAATGGACGAGATGGAACTGACCAGTATGTCTGGCGAAGACAAAAGAGCCTCGACAAAGGGTACACAACGTGGAGATGCGATGATGATTACGAAGACGGTCGCGTGGACAGTGGATAATGGCCAGGATAAAGACTCGAATAGCACCAACGGCGAACAGATGCCACGCGGTATGCTATGAAAAGTCGTAGTTGGCCAAAGGCCTGACACTAGGGCATTGATTGCGCTTGCAGTCACTGCACGCGAAGGACAACCGGGATCTGGCTTGACACTGAAAGTTTTGTACATATGTCATTGGCTCAAACATTCACAAATCACTCTCCGTCAACATCATCGAGTGGTTTTACTGATGAGTAAGTGAAGTAAAAAACAGATGTTTAAAGTTATGACCATGTTGAGCCCCACACAACTTTAGCAACCTCAGCACAACGCTAGAAAACAAATTCATAGTCTCTCTCTTGCTCTTCCTCCACGATCAAATCCGCTCCGTCTGGCAGTAACTTAGCTAGCTTCTCTCTCTTCTCGCACGGAAATGCAATTCTAATCACCTTGGCTTCATACTCCACATCACCACGGCCCGGTGGAGATTGATTCACATCAAGATACACACCTGGTACAGCCAGATCAGTCGATTCCGGCATGATAATTGAGCACCAGCTCTCCACAGTTCGCCCAACACCACGGGTCTCCATCCGCTTTATACGTGACCATGGGCCCGCCAGGGGAACAGGCATGATTCTTTGGCGAAACAGCTGATCCATTGGTCGATACTCTCAATACGTCCTTCCCGGACGGCAGCCTCTAGGACACTCGTCGACGTTCCGATTGCGTCCTTGTTTAAATGACAAAAAGCGTAGGGTTTGGCGTACCGAGCTTATCATTCTCGCCCATTCTGCGAACTGTCGGTCGTCTCGCTCGTCAGGTGGACAGTCGAGGTAAGCCTCACCGACGGTGGCGATGCACAAAGACGTGAGGGCGGCGAACTTTCCGATGAAAGTTTCAAGTGCGCCTACCATACGCTGGGTTTCCCGGATCATGCGATGATCCCGTCCATGCTCTTCCAAGTATGTTTTTAGAGTATGGGCGTCAGTGAACTTCGGAAACGATGGTTCATACTCGTCGCCTTGTAGTAGATTGTGTAGCTCCAATTGCTCAAGCCTTCCGGCAGAGCTCTCCAAGAAGCGCCCGACGAGACCTCGTGTCATGCAACCACTTAGTCGTATGGAAGTCGCTTTTGGGAAACATGGCGGTGGTAGTAGTAAATGATCACCCTCTCTATTCTCGTTAGTATTCTGGGAGCAATAGATAACGAGACGCCTAATCAATCCATATATCCACTTTCCTAACGTTGGCGAAGCTGGAGAATATGCGCCAAAGCGATTCTGGTACAGTGAGAACTCATCGCGCACCAAGGGGAAGCAGGAAACATACCATAATCTCTAGCGTCGTCTGCATTCAGATTGGAGTCATGATGCTCAGCTCGAACATGCTCGATCTCGTTGTCTAAGTCTCCTGAGTCTTCGTCTTCTTCTTCCCACGCCCCTCCATCACAGTGGAATAGACTAAGCATAATGGTTCAGCGAAGCTCGTGTGTATACTCGGCCAATCTGGGGTTACGTCGAAGTGTTCTCGCCAACTCTAACTGCTTTTCGAATGTATGAAGATCGATTTGGTTCCAGCGCCTGTAGATGAAATCGGGTGGTACTCGATGAGGCCCGAACACGACAGGTTCGCAGTCAATGGAGGCGGTATGCGAACTCAGATCGATGACGTGATATAACTCCGGCATCTATGCTGTTCAGTCACAGCGAAGGATATGGGAACATTTTACATACGCCGACATCATATAGTTGTCGGCATGTCTCGCATACTCTCTTCATGTCGATGGAAGAGCACAAAGATAGTATCTCGATAAGAAGCTCCGTAGGTAGTTCCAGTAGTGAAGACATGTGGCTTTGACCCCCCCTTGTGGAGACACTGTAAAGATGGGTTTCACACCGTTGAGATTTTCGAGAAGATATCGTGTAGTAGGACGTTGTTCGTGATTTGTGGCGAAGTAGCTGTGCCACATTAGGCAGCACTCTAGACCGCCACGACGCTTGTACCCGTTTTTGTTCCGCCCCATTCATCTTGCCGAAGACATCATTAAGGTAGAACTCATTTCGTGTGATACTGGCGTATTATCGTTATCACCATGATTTATCCCGTATTTCCAGAACATCCTCGTAACACCAGCGCTCATAGCTGCTTCGAAAGCTCTTGCACCCAGGCTAACCTTCCCTCGCCAAAGATCTCGGCTGTGGCTGGCATGTCCTCACCGCCTTCCAGTAACAAAGTGCGCACGATTATCTTTTCTGGCATAACGTCCTGATGATGATAAATATGGCTCGTGCAAACTTTGCAAAAGTAGCATCGCACGAACTTGCCTGCACCCAGTCAGCCTTTCCTCCTTCAGCAACATAAAGTGAACATACCACTAGCACCTTTGTACCGATACTGCCTGATGTTTTCCTCGCCGGAGACAATCTGCAGTTCCTCTTTCGGTATGATCTGATTGCAGGAGTACGGTCCGCCACCAAGCTTTTGGCACGTCGAGCAGTGGCAAAGTACGTGCTCGGCATTTTCGAGCTTTGCGGTCCATTTTACACTCTCACAATGGCATGTGCCTTTTCTGACCCCATCTCCTTTCGCCGATGGATGTTCAGCAGCAGGACCAAACAGCAACCCGTCTTTGATATCGACGACTAAGCTATCCTCGATGAGCGGCTTCGCGGCTGTGGAGAAGGCCTTGTGAACCGGCTCAGTGGTGAGATAATAGTCCAGATCTTCCTGATTTGCAAACTCGAGCACGAAACCATGTGTCATGCCTTTGGAGAAAGGTTCCCACGATCTGTTTTTGCCGGCTTTCAGCGACTGTATGAGCGGCTTGCCGGTGTTAGGATTCAGCGACTTGTGTTGTAGGGCCATAAACGACTTGAAGTGGCTCTCTAGGTCCATCCATGATATATCATGGCGGTATTTGAAGAGCACGATGTGTGTGATCGTGTCGCTAGCCATTGTCTCCGATGCAGGAGTACCTGGTGCGGAGGTGCGGGGCGTAATAGGTGCGGAGTCGAGGATGTCGGCTATGTTGGGGAACATATGGAAGACACAGCATGGTCTTCATAGCGAGGCACTTCATCTTATACTATCAGGCCGCCAGGAGCAGTCGAAAGGTGATGTTGCAAGACCGCGATGGCACGCGTTCATGGAAAGCGCCCCCGGGGCTAGCGCCACTGGAAGTAGCAAGTTTCGCCGTCTCCGCGCTGTGGGGCAGCTGCGCATGGAACGAACATCCGTCTTTCTCAGCATCAGCACTTCGACAACCATCATTCACTCATTCAGTCGCAACGCGGTTCTGTTAATGAGGCGCATCTTGTCAAAATGTTGTCCATTCCAGATAAAGCTCGCTAAACTGCACAATCCCATCACTGCCGCTCATCAAATCGCATCTTACGGCGTCTTCTCCTTAGCCGATCCCATCGCCTGCCCAGGCGCACTCGCATCCCTCAACTTGACACTCTCATCCGTCTCTTGCAACAGCGCATCCTCATGATCAACCGGAAAGAAGCGATAACTCCTCATTTCCGTGTTTTGCCAATCTCCATGTGCCTGACAATCGTTCTCATCTAGATCCCCAGATACGTAATGCAGGAAGTCGCCATGCGATACCACGACGATCTCCTGTTCGTCACGGTCGCGTAAGAAGCGGCGGAGCTCCAGGGCGCGCGCCTTGAGTGAGCCGCCGTCTGGTGCCCATTTGCCCTCTTTGGTGTTGAAGTCGGTGTAGGTGTCCAAGCACCTGTGGAAGTCGCAGACGTCGCCAAATTCCTTTTGAAGCCGCTTTACGTCGCTTGGTGTGTTGGCGGGCTCAGATGTAGCTTCTTGGGCTAGAGGAAGAGCGAGGATGTTGCGCTTTCCGGATTGTAACCACGGCTCCATGCTGATTAGTGCCGTTTGGATGGTGCGGCGGATGGGGCTTGCGCAGACTAGGTCGATGCGATCAAAGAATGGGAATGTTTCCGAAAGGTTTTTGCATTGTTGTTTTCCTTTGGGTGTGAGGTCGGGGTCGGGGATCTTCTCGTTGTGTTCTGCGTTATGGTAGCCTTCGGCGTGGCGGATGAAGTGCACAGCACGGGGAGCCATTTTGGATTAGGAAGTACAGGTGTCGGGAAGCGATGGAAGTGTTTTTTTTTTGAGTCAATCGTAGAAGATTTAATGTCTTGAAAGGCTTTGAGATGACAGTATTAATGCAGGGAGAGGAACTCGATATATATACTGCGAGAAGTACATCTAGAGTAGCGTCACTACTGGTATACCAAACATGCACATACCAACCTCGATTTTGGTCGTCATATGCTAGCATATCCATCGGACCAAGATCTCGTGGCGAGATGCATCTTCACCATCAACGTCCACGAAACGATAGATGCTGGTGGATGACGAGAAGGCTATGTCGGCACAGCTGTGAGCAGCATGGAAGGTCAGCCGTGTCAATACCAAAGACACGTCGGAAGTGCTCCTGAGGTTATGGCTGGCTGCGTGCCGGCGTGCAAATAAGCTCCTCGTAAGTTTAGCAGCCTTCTAGAAGGTCTACATGCCCAGCCATCGGAGTCTGGGGCTCTTAGCGTCTGGTAAGTCCCGGTTCGGAGGCGCTTGCTTGAATTCTTAGGCTTAAAACGGCGCGAAAACACTTACTGAGCCAGTGTAAAGACCCTGACTACCGCATAGACGGATACCTATCTGTTGAAAACTTGGTTCGCCGCATGCACAATGACATCCAGGCTTGAGGCCGCGTCAGGAACGACATGAGCAGTTGCGGGTAATCGGCACGTCAAGAAGGCGATGTAAAGCATGATGCCGAGATGCACACAGCAAGGTAGGAGTCGCGTAGATATTACGGCCCTTTTCAAATGTTCTTGCGCTGTGGTCTAGAATTAGTGGAGGTGAGGCCTCCGTCACACCCGCTCTGGTCGAGATTTACACGCCAAGTGGGTGACGTCAGCACGCGTGAACTAATGATCTACGGGCTTCCCCACAAACTAAAGCTTCGCCGTAGAAACTGCGCTTGGGAAGAGAGATGCGCTATGCATGGTTTTCCAGAGCTACGGTGCTTGAGATCTTGCTACACGGCTGTGACGGCATCGCATGCGAGAACTCATCTGTCATACCGAGCGAGTGTCTCTGCTAGCATACAGCACATCATAAAGTTCGTCCAACCCAACCTTCCGCTTCGAAATCAACATATGTTCCTTTCAGTCGCACAGGATCAACGTAGATATTCAATCCTTTGTCGTCCGACAAAAGATAAGACACTCGCATAATGACATACATTCTGGTTGCCTCCTGATCTCTTTGAACAGCCATCTCATGCATCTGCTTGTTGTGTCAGTCATGCGCCCACGAAACTCATCCCACATATTTGTCAAGGAAGTCTAGACAACTTACGAGTTTGTACTGTCCCGAACTCAGGAAGAATCTCGTCTCACAAGCACTTATTGTGCTCTTAACCTCGAAGTAGTATTCGATCGGGTGCCTCGCGAAGTCACGCTCAGTACTACTAGCAGGATAGCCACCTGTGCATCTCCCCTTCAACCACTGCGTCAGCGTACCATCGCGATCCGTGTAGACGATATCCGCTGTTTCGCGACCTTGCCAGTTGGCAATGCCGGCGTATTTCGGATAGCGTGAGAGCTCTCCGCGAATCGTACTGCGCCAATTGTCGAGCGTGAAGTCGGTCAAATTGAGAGCGGCGAGCGTTTCAAAAACCTGCAACTGTCAGTAAGCGGACACGGAGTCACTCGAAGCGACGACTTACAAATGCTTCACCTAGAGCCCCATGAAGGCGGTTAATACGCTCCTGATCTAAGCTGCGACTTGCTCTGGGACTGTAGGCCGCATGTCTGGAGCTAGCTGTCACATCTTCGACGAAGGTTGACTCGGATGAGTTCACAGACCCATTTGCTGAGACTAGAGAAGAGCGTCTTCGCGTGCTTGTATTTTCGGCATTGTGCACGTGTCGCGGCTCAAACAGCGACGATGAACCATCTTCATCCTCATCCTCATCTTCATCGTTCGGTAGATTCAAGACTGGCTTTGTGATCCACGACACGCACGATATATCGAGCTCGATCAGGATGTCGTCTAAGGCTCGGAGGTCGCTACCAATGATGACAGAGATGTCATGACGTGCGCTGTCGTCGACTTCCATGATGTCTGCAAGCAGTTTCGGAAGCTGTGATCGATAGGAAGATTGACGTTGCTTCGGGCCTTTGGGTACGTAGATTCTTAGACTGTCCGTCGTTCTCTCATGGTGTATGAATGATCGCTCGCTTCGAACACTAAGACGAAGGTCTGGGTCTTTGGTGTCGATGACTAGGTGAGTCGCGATATCGCCTCTGAAGATCCGAACAGCTGACAAAGTCTCGAAAAGTGAGTGATCTCCATGGAGAGCTTTCACACTCTTGTACTTCGCAGCACAGCTATGTAGAGTCAGGTTGACTGATCGCACAGAGTGGCTTTTATATGAGGTAAAACTCACCAATATAAAGCATACGCTTTCACTTGCAGTTGCTTCGAAAGTTCATCGTCTTCCTCACTATCGTCCTCGACCGTGGACTTCTCGACCACCAAAGACGAGAGATAGTACCTCTTGATACCGATATGCGTGAACATGACGTTCATGATTTGAACCTCCTCAACGGAAAAGTCGAGTAAGATGTCATGCTCCTCAAAGGCGCTGCCATATCGAGTATGGTCCCGGATAGCATAGGCATCGTGACGGCTAAGGAGGGCTGTACCGCCACTGGCAAGTCTTTTGGGCAGGAACTTGCTCGCCGCAAGATCAGATAGCGCATCTTTAGTTGTCTTATCCAGCTTGGTACTAGTCAGCATCCTGCTGACGTCGACGAGCCGCTTTCGGACATCCTCGTAGTCTGGCGATTTGTGCCTGACCATTTTCGATATCTCCTTGATGACCATAGTCGGTGTGACTTTCTTGACTTTGAGATGCTTCACGAAGAAGGGTTCCAAATGTGGGTAGATGGAGCTAAGGTCTTCGTATCCGGAAAGCAAGAAACGGCTGTGCCACACACACGTCTCAAGGGTGTGCCAGGTGCTATTCGTGCCCAAGATCAAATCGTTTTGCTGGAACTGCGTCCTGAAAATTGTTAGCACATACAAGGATGAACAAAATAACGCGGCTAAGAAGTATTCTCGGTGGTGCTGCTAACATCTATTAAAGCTTTCCAATACCTGAGCTCAGTCTCGGGTAACGATGAAGACATCGTATGTTCGATCCAAAGCTGTACAGAATTGAATTCACGGGAGAGAAGTAAAGAAGGAAAACATACCTCAGTATCTGCCACTCCTCGTCACGGACTGTATTATCACGGATGTATGAATAGATGTCTCCTGCAACGGAAAGGTTGGTTGTGAGATCGGTAGCTTGCCGTCGTTTGATCAGCTCTTCCAAGACATCCTCGGAGACAGCATCTGGTACATCTAGAGTTCCTTGAAAGAATCTAGACAGTGCAGGAATATGCCCATAGTGCGAGTGCAACACGCTCTTGTATCGCAAAAAGGCTGGGCCCTGCCAGACGCATGAAGATTTGTCTACCCAGCTTCTACTGCTGGGTATCCAGATCAGCTCCTGGGAAAAGAGTTCGCTATTTTAATGAGCCTTGTGACTAAGTTGAAGAGCATGGAATGAATGGAACGTACCAAAGATCGTCGTGATCGTCTGCCGTAGCGAACTTCGCTAGGCCCGCATATATCTTCTCCAGAATTCCCAAATCAGGATCTTGAGCCACTGACCTGATACCCTGAAGAGCGCGCTCGTAGAACTCGAGATCTACCTCGCTACGTACGCCAAATTCTTCCAAAAATCGCCACTTTACACGGCCGTCTTTGTCAAGCTTGTCCGACGTCCGGCGAAACTCAGGTATAGCGAGTATTGAACACTTGCCCAAGGTTAGACCAAGAGTCAGCACTTGATCAATTACGTCGACCGTAGGTAGGTATGTGTCTTCAAGAGCTTCGTATTGCCAAGGCTCACCAGCTATAACGGCGCATGGTACCCCTAGGTCCCTGAGCTGGGCTTCGATGCGTGAGACGTCCTTTTGGTAATCGTGCCAATGCTGTCTGAGCATGTCTAAGAATGCATAAAAATTCCACTGGCCGACTACCCTTAAAGCTGGGGAAAGCTCTGGCAAAGACGTCTCTGCATTATCGTGTACGACAGGCGGATAGTATCGGGCACCTGTCGCCTGCTCCAACCACTTTTCCCACGCATCACGCTGGTCCTTCGCAGAGTTTTCTTCCCAGTCGACTAGGGACTTGTCAACAAATTCCAAAATTCCCTGATATTTCGAGGGACAAACTCCAGTAAGAGCCTGATAAAGATGATGGGCTGCTTCTGATGGGAAGTATAACTTTGTAGAGTCTTTCACATGCCCGCTTCTTGTCGGCACCCAGATCCATCTTTTGAGCAGCGAAGCATCCTCATTCGCTCGGAAAAGGTATCGAAGGTGCGACGGTATATCAGCAGGAGCTGTGTCGGCGCGGCCATGTGCCTGCTTAATCCTGTCCACGACCAACTCATGCGAACACTCCTCGACACCGAGTGCTGTGTAAAAGGCTTTGCGCGTCGGATTCGAAGACGCGTGTGTATCGAGGAGATTCAATCCTATAGAGCTGGGAATATGGATGCCGTCGACATCGGAGAAGTAGATATGATCCAAACTCCCACCGCTACTTTGCCCTGGTGCGCCTGTCCACTGCTGACGATTCTGAAGAGGTATTATAGCCAGTTTCCTCAGTCTGCTTTGGACACCAATCTCGGGGGCTTTGGTCGACCATGCCTGTAAAAACAAGGACGCAAATGCAACATGCCATGCATCGTGCGGTTCCTTGGCTCTCAATTTCGAAGTGACGGTCAAAACATCAGTCTCTAGCCGTTTCATCATGCGAGGTAGCCCTGCCCAACGTGCCCCAAGGGAGAGAACTTCATCGATGTATTTAGGGATGTAATCAGGGGCAAGGTCGACATCATCTGATAGACCCTCCAGAATCGGTTTGCCACTATAGAGCATGTTGTCGCGTAGTAATCGTAGTTCTCTCGGTCTTCTGAGGTGTCGCTGTCGCCAAGTCTGCAGGATAGGTTTGTCTGCCAGCTCTTGTGTAATCAATCGACACATTGGTTTCCATCGATCGTCGCGTAGCCCGGCAGGTAGGTAGTCGAGCCAAGAATACCTTAGGGGATCATCGTCTTTCGTGAACTCTTCAACGGCCCTCGCGAAAGTCTTCGCCACACCATGGAATATGGATTCATTCCACGTACAATCAATGACGCTTTCTCGGCTTGCAGAAGTGATGAAATCTGACTGGATGAGGAACTTACGGAATGGATTAGCATACTTCTTCTTTACATGAAACGAGCTTACCTGAACTTGTTGCAAACGCTGCAATGGTAGATAGGCGAAAACGTGATGCCCAGATTCGCTAAGCTTTGGCTGTTGTGTTGTAGCGTCCACTGGAAAGGCCAACTCGACGCGCGCTGATCTGCGACCCTCCCGATATTCGTGTGCTGGTATATCCTCGACAACGTGAGTGAAACATCGATACAAGCTTTCATCGACCGTGGTTTCATCACCGAACTCCTCCTGCCGCCTGATAAGGACGCGATCTAGGGGAGATTCAAGTGCGATTCTCTCGAAAGTAGTCGTTAATTCTTTGGCGTCCATGTCTGTAACATGAACACGGAACCTCCGTAGTCTCTGCAAGAAGAAGAGTGTTGTATCAGGCATGCTTGCGACAGCATTGAGTAGACTCTGGTACTCTGCAGTCGCATCCCTCGCGAGACGCAAAGTTATTCTCGTAGTCACATCCTCAGGGAGAGTGACTGGCTCGGCGTCCAGAGGCGTCACCATACCAAGACCGTCGTCTCCGCGCCGATGTTGAAACCGAAATGACCAGAGTCCAGATTGAACGTGCACGTCCTCTGCAATGGAGAATACAGACTTGAATCCGAAGCCTTTCTCTCCGATGTGATCGTCTGTAGCTGACGATTTCTTCGAGCTTTCCCCAGTCGCACACACTGCCTCAACGTTGGCTAGTCTGAAGCCATCTTCATTTGTTTCCACAATGAAAGCATCTGGCGCGATCTTGAATCGGAGGAATGGTAGTACCGATGCGCGGTGTGCCTCTTTGTACAGCGAATCATCAGCATTCTGAACAAGTTCGTACAAGAAACGATACTTGGACGAGTAAAGCTGCTGGGAGATGCTGCATCAATTGTTAGAATATGAGTATGATTTGACCTGCAACACAAACCTTTTGGTGAAAGCTGCCTCAAGCTTGCGCTGTTTTGCAAAAACATACAATGTCCGGTCGCGATGTCCGTGGGAAAGCTTCTCCAAATCCAGTCGGTAATTCTCGTCGATATGGCCTTTGTTGACACGAATGTTCTCCAACACAGCTTTGCACTCGTCCACTGTTGATGGTTCCGCCCTTCCGAGCCGTTCGAGCACTTCGTGGTACCTGCCACTAATCATGCTGAGAGGTAAACAGCAAAGGCGAATTTGGTGTCGCGAGAATATAGTTCAACGAGTCAAATATAAATGTTTACCTCCTGGGTCAACATAAAGTGATATGTGCGATTATAGCGAAAGTGGAGAGAAGTCATGAGATTGCTCGCGTTCGATGGTGGGAGTGAACCAGGACGGTATTGGCCGCTGCACGCGTGCGGCGCGGTACCTGCTCGCGTCGCACTTACATGCAACCCCGAGACATTACAGGTAACGATATGCGCCAGGTATTTCAAATAGACCAAACGCGCCGAGAACGAGCTGCTGAAGGATGCACTTTGAGACAAGCCTCAAGCCTTCCTCAGAAGCTAGTCCTGATAATCTCAACTCAGCTGGCTGCGGCCCCCACGAACCACAGTTGCTCATAAGCGTGTTTTTACTATTAAGGGTCAGACATTCGTTCGGAAGCGCCAGCTTGAGTTGTTTGTTGACGCGAAGCAATCCCGTTGTCAGTACTGCTAGAAATTATGGGGAGATGTTTACACGTCGCTGAAGACCAGATCTAGGTATCAAAAGATGGTACTGCTGTAATGTGGGCGGAATTCGATCATAACATCTTGATTTGTGGATGCGTTGTAGGTATCTATTGCGCCGTAACAGTTTTGGCAAATATGAGAGCAGGCGATCTTGGCGTAGCATCTCACAAGAAGATCTCCAGATTGAACTCTAGTGTACTCACGGGATATCTGTATGGTAATCAGCACCAAAACCATGCTAAGACAAGATTTAGGGTAGACTTACGGCAACTCGAACTTCTGCAACACACTCGGGTGCAAGATACCGAAGACACCGATGGTGTGGTTCTTGCCGCCGAGGTTGAGCTTAATAGCCGCTGAGTGGCCGGGAAGGAAGGTCGGGTCTACGATCAGTCAGCATGTCTGTGCCATCTCTGATGCGCAAGACCATCTACTTACCATCAACCTCTTCTATCCAGTAGCCCTGCAATTGCTCGTTCTTTAGTCCGTCTTCGCGCGTAAGGAATGCCGACCGAAGCATGAGCATCAGCCTGTCCAGCAGACCATGTACCTGTTCGAAGCCACTTGTCTTGCCCATGAATGCGGCTGCGAAGTGGCGCTCGTTCCTGCTCTTCCTCTCCTGCTCCAAATCGACGAGACCAATGTCGCTAACCTCGAAGATCTTCATCGGTACTGAATGGTGCTTGTTGGAGTTGATTGTCTTGAGCAGACCCGGTAGTAGCGATGTTCGGACGAGTTGGTATTCCGCCGTCTTGGGGTTCGCAAGCTTCACCGCTGTCTTTCCGTCGTCTTTCCGGTTCAGCCACTCGAAGTTCTCCTCATGCGAGCAGAGGATAAGAGGCATGACTTCGGTCCATCCTGATGACGCGGACTCTATTCGGACGATATCACCGAGCTTGTTGATGGGTAATGGCGCAGAGACAGCAGCAGTCTTGTTCGGGTATACTCGCGGCAGCTTGTTGAAGCCGTATGCGATGGCGTAATCTTCCATGATATCCGCTTGATGCAGGATGTCCGCTCTTGTGACAGGTACCGAGACGTCGAGGATGTTCTTGTCGGATTGAGACGGTGAGACGTCGTGGCCCATACGCGACAAGAGTTTCGAGATCTCCTCAGGTGACAAGGTGAGGCCAGTGACCTGGTTTAGGTAGTCCACCTCAACCTGCATTTGTCGCGGTGACAGATCTGGCGACTCTCTTGACTCTCCATTGTGGGGCGAGTTGATCTTGATAGGCTCGATCGACTCTGCGTACCCAGCGAACATAGTGACCATCATGTGGTTGACGATTTCGACCTTTGTCTTATCGGTCGCGGTAATCTCGATGAAGACGTTCTTTGTATCCAGTGTAACCTTGCTGTGATTGCTATTGATGATGGGTGGGAGGGAGAGAACGGTACGGTTCGCATCGTAGATAACGGGGTATACAGGCGAGTCGCGAATGATGTGTAGGAAGCGTCCCAAGTGCTTGTCTTTCTACTCAGGGTCAGAATGGTGCTACACATGTGCATCTGATTTTTACTGACCTCGTAGAACTCCATGAGCTCCTTGGCGTTCATTTCCTTGTCCTGCTTCAGGGGCACGAATTTGATCTGCTCTGGCGGTAGTGCTTCGTATGAGAAGGGGCCCTGAATCGTATCCAAGTCGTGTGTTCCGATGGATACAAGTGTCCGTTGACGCGCCAGGTTGGAATGTAATTTGTCTTGTAACGCGATGAAGGAGTCGTACCGTTCTTGTGTGAATTTGATACCTCGTAGTATGACACCTGAGCAGAGCTCTCGTATTTGCTTGGTCTGTAGAGCGACTAGTCAGCACAACTTCGCTACCGCTTTCCAGACATTCGGCATACCTCAGGCTTGATGTCGAGCACCTGCAGCTCTCCTCCCTTGGGCGCAGTAACAGTCCACTTGGGCAGCTTCTGCTTCTCAAGGAAGACCTTGAGATTCATGGCAATACCCTCGAAGCATAGCATGTCGTATCGATTTGCGGGAATCTCGATCTTGAGTTGTGGTGGTTGCGCCTGATCTTCTGGCTTGGTGCTCAGGCTTGTGTCCTCGTCCAACTCGATACCGAATTCGAAGCATAGGTCGTCGAACTCCTGGTAGGTATATTCCCGGCCCAGCTCCTTGAAGAGGGCCGCCTTATCCACACCGATGGTAGGCATTGTGGCGGGTTGTCTGCTCTCTTGGGGGGTTTCGCGTGGTTCTCGTGTGCGATGGTGGGGTCTTTGGAGGGGTAAGTTGGGAGGAAGGAGCGGCTGGCGGGGTGTGGGGATGTCGCAGTACTCGTATACGATGATGGCAGCGATACAGGAAGCTACTGCCGTCTTTTAGTCGCTCAATGGACCGGCTGAGTGAGAGGTGCGGCTGCGTAAATAATTTGGTATGACTCCAAGCCTCGAGCGCAGCAATCGGCGCCGGGAGCTGCGTCGGACCGGACCTTGGCGCTAGGCTGTTTTAGATGCGCGTCGAAGTTCTACAGATACTAGAACTTTACAAACAGCTCATGCAAGATGAGGCATCGCTCTTTTGAAACTAAAAGAACGTTTTGCTTTCGGGCCTAGTGGTGGCTAACGAACTACCTAATCCTCCATCCCATCTTCACGATCACAGAGTGCTTGAAATCGTGCATAGATTCTTCATATATGCAATTCTTGACATTCAGTCGTACCTAAATCTTGTTTCTGCAAAGGCCGCAGTATACGACATGAGCCCTTCAAACGCCGTTAATGCCCCTGATGTCCACCAGGCGTCTTTACCTAACTAGGCGTAATACTCGTTCAATCAAGCAACTCTCAAGGCTATCGACAAAGTTGCAGTCCCTGCTCCAAGTCCAAAGTTTTGTTTCCGCGTACAGCTGTTCTCGGTAAAGGTAATCTTGGTCCGATGGCCAGCATGTGACCAAGTGTATGAATAGAAGGTACAATCTGAGCCGCTCGAGGCTAGTGAGAAAGTGTAGGTTCCACAACACCGTGCCACGTCATGTTCAAAGGCAAGTTCGCAGCGAGTCGCGTCGAAGTTGGCAATCGGATCTTAGCGCATTCAATCCTGCCAGTCCCACACTTTTTTGAGGAAGTGTGCCATGTTGACCTTTTTCGATTTCATTTCGACCATCCACGGGTGTTCGAGCATTCGCCAGGGGGTGGCTCTGCGAGGACAGTCCTTCTCAAGACTGTAGAACTTAGCAAAGATTCACTTCTATGCAAGAGGGTTACATACCAGCACTCGATAAAGTACTTGAAGTTCTCTGACCACTTGATGCCATTTTCGGGTTCATCCTTGAGCTTGGGAATGGGTTGTCGAACGATGTAGGTGAGTAAATCAATAAGACCAGCGCGGGGGTTCATCTCGGTTCCATCGGCAGGGAACGGGAAGCGATGCTGCGCGACTTCGAGTAGAGTAACACCTAGACTCCACACATCACTAGTGATTGTATAGCTTTGCCCGGTGATGCGCTCTGGTGCCATGTAGTATGAGGTTCCAATAAAAGTGTTGGCGTCTCCCTTGGTTCCGAATTCTCCGGACACACCGAAATCGCAGAGCTTGACCTGACCATTCCGGCATAATAGGATGTTGCTCGGCTTGATGTCCCTATGTATGATGCGATGAGAGTGGAGGTATGTCAGTCCATTCAGCACGCCCTCGGCGACCTTGCCAAGGACCTTCTCGCCTGTTCGGCCTCCAAGCTTCTTGACCTCGCGGTATACTGCATCGAGCGATCCGCCTTCGCAGAACTCCATGGCGATACTGATCGTCCCTGTGCTGTCGTCCATGAAAGCACCGTAGTAACGGCAGATGTGGTCACTGGCGCAGTTCTTGTTGAAAGACAATTCTCGTACGATTTGCTTCTTGACATCGGGATCGGGGTTCGTTGTGATGATCTGGAATAGTTAGTTGAGTCCCAAGCATCGTTTGAGACCATGCATACCTTCAATGCAAACGTAGTTTTTCCGCCCTTGAGTATGCATTTTGTGACAGCCCCACCAGCGCCCTCTCCTAGACTGCCTTTCTCCTCGATCATTCCTCGTGCGCTCGCCGCTCTCCAGGCTGCGTCATCTAGGTCGTCCACCTCCAATGGCCGACCCTTCTCTAGAGCCATAGTGTCTAGATCTGGTAGAGGCTGACTGCTGTTTGCACGCTCCATGGAAGGCGCGCCCTCACTTCCTCCTTGGGATATTGCCGAAATGGGATCTGTGGCCTTTTGAACCCCCATGAATCCCAGTGCCGCATGGTATGATGAAGCAGAACCATTTGCTTGCACTTCGCCAAAGCTACCCGATCTTGAGTGTGCGCTCGTGTCGCTCGAGCCTGATGCTGACAGTCCTTGCCCTGGCATTATAAGCGGCGGGGGAGCTCGTGCGTTTCGTCCTTCCTGTGGTGCATTGCTGGAACCCATGGGAGTAACGACGCTGAGCTTCGGCCCATGACGGGGCTGAGGCGCGTTCAGGGTCGGTATGCCGCCGCCTGCGCCGTTGGTGACAGGTCGTGCGTTCGGCGATGGTGGTATGGATAGACCAAGCTGTGGCGGTCCCCTCCTCCCTGGGCGCGCGCCGGGGATGGGTGGTCGCAGCAGAGGCGCGGGGGACGACATGTTGGATTGTGGGTGAGGCGAAGGCCCGTTGTTGAACGGCTGCATCTACGTTGGCTCCCGCAGAGTCTGAACCGATGCTGGCCCCGGAGATAACGAGGGAAGTGAGTGGTGTTGAGATAGCACGTCAATCGTCTTGGGTCCCAACAGAGTGGGTCGCTGCCGTAAGCCGGATCAAAGAGGCGGTCTTTCGCGCGGTCGACGTCTCAGGGGGAGGAATACGAGGAGGTGAGGTGCGGTGGAGTGTGAGGCCGCTCGGGTTTAGGCACGAGTGACGTTGGGCCACGAGTCACAGGCAGGTGCGGCTTGACAGGCGGCAGGCGCGACTCGGTGGTGTGGGGAGGGCTCCGTTAGGGGGCGGGTTTCGAGGGGGCTAAGAGATAGCTCTTCCAAGATCAGGCGGACGACGGGCGGCCAGAGTGACAAAGGCAGCGGGTCTTTAGGTTTCAAGACCTCAGCGTGCTGGAGGGGCTCAGGACGGTGGAGAGCGGCTAGGCGCGTGCGCGCAAGGCTTGCCGACAAGGGGACTAGGCCGCTGTCCAGCGGTTCCAAACAGCCACGACACCTCCAACCTTCATTTGACGCGTGGACTAATAATAAGGAATTACCGACGTGTAGCCAACGACGTGGAGCGAATTCGATCAAAGGTCGGCAGCAGCGTGTGTGCAAGGAGTGCGGCCAGAGTGTTGCGGCGTGGACGATGATCCCATGCCCGTACCTTGAGGTTGGGAGGGTGCCACGAGACAGGATGCGAGGCGGGTTGTTGAGTGTTTCCGCAAGCGCTGAGGTTGCTCTTTTTATCACTGGCTCCAAGCTATGTTTCATCTCCTACTCCCAATGTGAAGGGTCTCTATTTGGGCGGCCTAGTCTATGCGCTGGTTGGTGTCTGCGTCTACATTGCCGCCGGTGACTGCTCGACTGACGTTGGCTCACATGCGAGTACAGCTCCAACCGCAGCGGGACCCCTTGGAATCGATAGTTTCTCGAGGTAACAACAACTCTCCTAGGGCTTATTCTGATGACGGGGATGGTATGCAGGCTCGAATACATCCTTTGACTCGCCATCCTTGTGCGCACGCGAGAGAAAGCCCTAAGGGTCTACCCCTCCACCCAATTGAACATGTCAACGCCGTTTGGTGGTGCAGCTTGGCTGACGTTAGACTCTGCCACTGGCTCAAGAACTACAAGCAACTTGCGATCGGAGCTAGAGATTCATACAATCGCCACCAACATCTTCGTGCCTGGTGCATCGTGGTCTGTACCGAAGATGCCGTCCACGCAACCCAGCACCCATCCTGCGCATGCAGCAAACATGCTGTTGATACCTCAAATTCTGCTCACCTTAACACCATCACCTTCATCTGTTTCAAGAACCGCCGCATCACCCCATCTTCGGAACAGTGCCATCTCAATACGGGTGCCGGCGCTTGTGTTGGCTATCGACGCCAATGGAGCTATCCGCAACTGCATGAAGCTCTAGTGGGTCCCACAAGAGGAGCGACCAGCAGAGCCCCCCGGGGCCGCTGCATGGAGACCTATGTATAGCAACATCACCATTCCGACTAAACATAAGTTGTAAGTTCGTCAAAACTTCACCAAACTACTCGTCTTGAGTCAGTAGGCTGTGCAGAGGGTAAGAATAGGTTTTTCGATCTAGCTATTGCATATCAGCTGCAGCTCGTCGAGTTCACGAGCTGTCGGCATACCTTCCGTTACGCAGTCTTTCCTCAAGGTGGTAACACGCAAACTGTATTAGCACAGCAGCAAGGATATCCGGCGGTCCCTGTGTGGAGTACGTTCACGAAACACTTAGTGTCGTTGATTGTTAGAATAGTGTTCGTTCATAGAGGTGCCTGGATGGATTGGCCGGGCCTCGGCAACGCGCCAGCTTTGGGCAGGTGCTGTCCACCCAAGCGCGACCTTGGAAACAAACGCATCATCATCTCCACCCACTGTCGACGGACACCGAACAGCGATGGTGTGACTGGGTGGTACCCTACAAAGAGCCCGACAAATTCGCGAGAGTTGTCGACGCAAGGAAAGTATATCCTTCGGCGAGCCCACTTCGTGACGCGTCCTGACGCCCGCGGCAGCAATGCTTCTACTACCGAAACTGCCTATAGGCTTTGTAGTCTATACCGAGCTTGCGCAAACTCTCGTGGCAATAGCAACATCACCAGCTGCTGGTCTAACAGCGGACCAAATACGATACAGAACAGTAATCAGCTTAGCCTTCCATTCACTCTAGGGCTTATGGCCGTACGCCTCCTTGGTACACAATACTTGCGATGCCTCTCATCTGTGAGTGTCTCATCTTCGTTCGGATTGCGGGAGTACTGGGTAGCTCCTCCACTCTGCATCATCGTAGTACCCTTGGGCGTATACCTCCTTACTCCCAGCCTCAGTCTCATCCTGGAAGCTCAGACTCGAAAGCATCATGTACGCATCATCGACCTTGAAAAAGAACTTGTCCAGCTTGTAATCGTTCTCGTCGTCTGCGAACACGAACAGCAACCCTCCAGGTTCTTTCCAGTCTTTTCGAACCACGACGATGAACGCAGTCGGCCACCACTCTATTTCATTCGTTTCGCTGTCTGCCCCTTTGTCCAGGGCTACGTGAGCCTGTAAGACTTCTTGAAGTGTCTTAAGCTCTGATGTGGAAGGCGCAGGTCGAACAAGATGATCCTCGTTGCCCTGCTCTAGCCATTGCTTCTCCAGAGTCGAGGCGACATCTTGAAGTGATACCTCGTCGATAAGGGTGTAGACAGCAAACGCGGCGCGATTCCAGTTGAAGTCGTCGCATTGACCGAGCTCCGGGGCCTGAGGTGGTAGCGATAGGTCGGGTGCCATCAATGCAATTGAACGATATTGATGGGAAGATGCCTAGTAACCTTATCAACGCCGAGCCGCTCCTAGTGTTACATCAAACTGACCGAATAGATCCGACGGGTGGTCCCTGCGATAGGTATGCACGTTCGGAAGGTCGCTGCCCGCAGTACCCGCAGCGAGCTGGGCCTTAGATAGCAGGGTGGGGCATTAGCCGATGCCGGTGCTCATACTCCAACGGCTATCTATTGACATCGGCATTTGAGTACCACGTCAGCTCTAGACTAACATATCCAAACAGTTCAGAGCACTGGTATCACTTGACATACTGAGCATACGATTTACAGTTTACAGGTATGTCGAATGACTTGGCTTGGCCTCGTTGCATACTGATAACTCACTAGCAATTGACACAGCATCTATCGCAATGACGAGACCGGAAGTAAAAATTACACAGGGTACTCTCATAGGTACGACGTTGCAGGGCGACTATCCACGGGCCGTTGAAGCCTTCAGAGGAGTCCCCTATGCTTTACCACCAACAGGTGAACGCCGATTCCGACCACCACAAAAGGTAGCACCTAGTCAAGACACTATAGATGCTTCAAGTTTCGGCCCAAGAGCTCCAGCACAGCAGCTCATGATAGTTGGACCGAAATTAGAGGAGAGTGAAGACTGCCTCACAGTGAACGTCTTCCGGCAAGCTCAAGCCGACAAAGCGACCGCTCTGCCAGTTGCAGTCTACCTTCATGGGGGGGCCTTCAATCGAGGAAATGCTGCGATGCACGAAACCGCGTCTATGGTTGGATGGTCTGAGTCGCCTTTCATCGCAGTATCGTTCGGTTACCGCATAGGAGCGTTGGGTTTCCTACCATCAAGGCTGAGCGTTGCAGAAGGCGCACTCAACCTGGGCTTGAAGGATCAGATTTGCTTGCTTGACTGGGTCGAAGAGAACATCGAGCACTTCGGTGGCGACAAGAACAATGTAACGCTCATAGGGCTCTCGGCCGGCGCGCATTCGGTACGTTTGAGCCGCTGGATGCCCTGATCAAACTTACTGACGTTCGTCTAGATAGGGCATCATCTTCTAAACTATGAGGAGGGTGTAAAGCCCAAGTTTCATCGTGTCATCATTGAGTCGGGCGCTCCGACATCCCGCGCTGTTCGCAATCCCGACGCAGAGATCCACGAGATGCAGTTCAAAGACTTCCTGGAAGAAGTTGAATGCCCTTCAACTCTACCAGAGTCGGAAGTCTTCAGCTTCCTACGCAAACTTCCCATTTCCACCATCGCCAAGGCTCAGACCAAGGTATTCCAGAAGTACAACCCCAGTCTACGTTGGGCGTTCCAACCCGTAATCGACAACGAGATCATCCGCCGCCGTCCAATCGATGCATGGCGGACGGGCAAATGGTACAAGATGCCCATCATGACCGGGTTTCAAGGGAATGAAGGCTCGTTGTACGTTAATAAGAAGATGTCGACTTCCTCCGAATTTCTGGATTTCTGGAAGACTTTGCTGCCGCAGATGAGCGATGAGGATATTCAGACGATACACAAGTTGTATCCTGACCCGACTGAAGTACCAGACTCTATTTACAAAGAGACGCGGCTCGAGCATGGTGTCGGCGCTATGTACAAGCGTATCGAGGCGGCCTACGCGCATTACGCATACGTCGCTCCAGTCCGTCAAACGGCATTCTTCGCCAGCCAGGATGCATCAGTATATCTCTATCACTGGGCAATGAGACGCGATATCGTCGATGGAGCTCGTCACGCAGATAATATGTTCTATGAAATGAGAGACCCAAAGTTCATTTCGAAGTCCAAGAGCCAGGACGAGCTGTCGGGTATCTTGCACGCGTACATCACTAGTTTCATTTGTACTGGCACTCCGAACGCGCTTGGCGGCTCGTATGCGAACAGGACGGAGTGGAAGAGCTATGATAGAGCTGATCCGAAGGTGATGGTCTTTGGAAGGGATAATGAGGAGTTAATTGGTGGGCAGACCATTGGTGAGCCGGCTATCATGGCTGACGACACGTATGCGAAGGAGGAGAGTGACTTTTGGTGGTCCAAGGTTGAACTGTCACAGCAGTAACATTGTTCTCTCCGTCACTACTAGCATTTACATCACAGTTTAGCCTGCAGCCCAATCTCACCAACAAGACCCACAACCTCCTCCGCACACCCAAACGAGCCCTGGTATCCCCACCCCGCATGCCCATAGTTATGCACAACCCAAACCCCATCAATCTTCTCCTTCTCAAGCCTGACACCAGCCTCTCTCCCCGGTCTCAACCCAACACCGTACCGGATAACATCAAGGTGCTCTGGCCCTTTCTCATCCGTCAGCTCAGGCAACAAACTAACCGCCCTCTTCATGATGCGACTAGTGATATTGGGATCGGGCTGACTCTCCCAGTTTCCGCTTTGCATGGTGCCTCCCAGTACTGTTCCGCCGCCAACTGCTCGCGTCATCATGTAGCAAGCCTCGTCTTCGCTGTCGTCCGTGCCAGACACGAACACCATAGCTGGGGCTACGTTTCTTACTACAACGACCTGGCCCCGAATTGGGTAGCAGGTCTTGTCCTCTACACCTCCTAATTTCCCAGCTGATAGCCCAGTCGCGTTGACGATGATGTCTGGCTTGAAGTTTCCGATGCAAGGAGACCGCAGATCAGATATATGCGATACAGATTTCCGATGGAATTCCACTCCGTTTGCGCGGCATTGGCCTACGAGCCATGGGAGGTAAAGGGCGGGGTTGATGCACACAGAGCTGAATTCGCTGCCTGATGCCATTCCTGATGGCAACTCGGAGGAGGGGATGTTGCGATAGTCGTCGACTAGAGAGCGCCACCAGGGGTTTTCGGTAAAGACGTTGTTGAAGGATGTGGCGCCGCCGCTTTGCAGCTTCTTCATGTCTCGTTTTCGGCGGTAGATGCGGCATTCTGGTTTTGTTTAAGTATGCTATTGTGGTCTGGTCGTGAGAGAGTTTGCTCACTCTGTAGGTGGATACCAGCTTCTGGGACTTCTGTTGCTAGTCTTTTGAGTTGCGGCCATGTTCTACGTTCATAGCGACTTTGCGGTTCTGAAGACATTCTGCACCACACATATCAGCTGACTGTGTACCCAGCTGTTCGCGTATACTTACGGCATGAAGTTTGCGCCGGCCCATGGTGATGCATATTCGATGTCGGAGTCGCCGGGCATATGCTTCGCTACGACCGCAATTCTGTTACTTGGGTCTTTGGAGAGAAGATATGCTGAGGTCAGCCCGGAGACGCCTGCTCTTTACACCAAGAAGCGTTAGTATGACCAAGCTGACAGCTGTCGGGAAATGGAACGAAGTGTACCCGATTACGATGATGTTAGGCATCTTCTAGTTGCAATATTTCTAGCTTTCCGTGAATGTTCCAAAGGCGAAGATCTTCTTCTCGGGTTTCAAGAAGAATGGGACGCTTCCTTGAGGCGCACAAGCATTCACTAGGCTCGCCAGGCTTAAGTAGTCGGGTCGGATATGCAGCATCGATGCCAAGCCCGAGCCGCGAGTTCTCCGCCGGGGAACTCAACACTATTGACAGTTGTTGCCTGGAAGGCTTGAACGTGCTCGCTATTCTGTTGATCGCTTTACATGAAGCAGAAAGTGTGATTTCTTTGGGGTTCGCGGTGTCAATGCTTATCGATAAGACAGTGCCACTCAATTGAGCGAAGACCTCGGCTGCAGCTGCACCGTCCACCGAATCTCTCCTGCCTCACTGTCCCCCTTCACAAACCTCACAACAACGACAGCGGAGAGATGCGTCACACACACGCAAGCCACATCTGATTCTCAGATGAAACCGTCTCCACGACGCGAGAAAAGGCTGCTAAGGTCATAGAGAAAGACTCGTCTTTGTAGCCTAGAGACCGGCCATCAAAATCACAGCATTCTCCATTTTGAAGAAGCCTTGCTTCGACTTGTGTCGAAGATAACCAAAGGATTGAACCTGTTAGCTATCTTATCTAAGTGACATATCGTTCGATGTTTTGCGCGGTGATGGCATTGGTGATGCCGTCTTCGGAGCTCTCGCACAATCGATGCAGGTATGGCGGAGCCGCTAACGGGTACTGGTGGTCACTAGGATGCGACCCCAGCTTGCGACCACCACTCTACGAATGCCGCGGGGCGCTACCGGTATCTCACATCTGCCATGCGACTCCCTTATCACTGCCGAAGTATTGCCGTCGGGCGATGGCATGTTCACAAATCTGCTGCATCCTTTCAAGGTCACTTACCAGGGCGGTGATCCACTTCTTGAATCCTTATCCAGGTTTGATTTCAGCTTGCAGGCGTATACTGGCCCACTATGATAACAAGGTAGCAACGAGTCCCGGATATATCCTCTGGGCAATGCGATCGGCCGCCTGTCTTCCGCTATCACGCGTTCTTATCGAATCCTACATGGGTTCCGTTCATTTGCATTGAATGATTGATGTCGCGGGGTAGTTCGACGCGGGTATCGCATCCGAAGTTATGTTAAAGCTCTACTGCAAGCATCCTCGTATGGCTGCTCTGGTCCCCTACGCATAAATCACTCACTTTGTTGATTGTCGACCCTCGTTTTCAACCATGTCGACGCAGCCGAATACCACGAAATGCGACGACAAAACACCGACCATGTCAAAAGACATGGAGGTTCAGCTCAGCAGCATGGACGCGAACTCTCTTCACAAGCATGAAAGCGCTATTGTGGGTGAAGTTGAAGACCTCGATGAAGCAAACCTGTTCCTAAGGCAACATAATATCACACCGGAGTACATGGCTGAGCTCCTTGAAGACGACATAGCCAACAAGCGCGTTTCCAGGAAAGTCGACCTGTTGCTGTTACCACTACTATGTGGAACCTACTTCCTCCAGTACATCGACAAGCAAGCAATGGGCTACTCCGCCGTCTTCGATCTTTTCGAGACTACTGGCATCACTGGTGATCAGTACTCCTGGCTGGCGTCGATCTTCTACTTTGCCTACTTGCTCGCTGAATGGCCATCAGCATACCTTGCGCAGCACTTTCCAACCGGCCGAGTGGTGTCGCTCTTCTGCTTCTGTTGGGGCTCCATTATGCTACTTACAGCTGCTACCCACAACTTCGCGGGCTTCGCTGTCATGCGCTTCCTCTTGGGTGTCTTCGAGAGTGTTGTGACGCCCGCGTTTATGATGGTGAGTCTTGCTCTTCAGGTTACATGCCGTACACACACTGACGCTTTTTCTTTACTGTTGCAGATCGTCGGAATGTGGTACGTAGGAAAACAACAACCCGCAAGGGCGGGTACGTTCTACTGCTTCAACGGCCTCGGTAGTGCCGTCGGGGGCATCCTGTTCTACGGCGCCGGATATGCGAAGAGCTTCGTCGTCTGGAAGATCATATACATCATCTGTGGAGGTATGACCGTCTTATGGTCTGTAGTCCTCTTCTTCAGGTTGCCGGACAACATCATGACAGCCAAGAGCTTTTCTGTCGAAGAGAAGGCTCTCCTGATCGCGCGCGCCGCTAGCAATCGCACCGGAGTGTACAATCGCAAAATCAAGCTGCCTCAGGTCTGGGAGGCCTTGATGGACCCGCAAATCTGGATACTCTTTCTGTTTGTCACGCTCAACGAAATGATCAACGGTGGCACTGCGAACTTCGGCAAGCTCATTGTCAAGGACGCAGCGGGAGGTGATCCACTAAAGACAACACTGTATGGCATCCCGCAGGGCTTCGCTCAAGTGTTCTGGGTTTTCACAGGCCCTTTTCTCGCCTCTCGACTGCCGAACGCGCGCACATACATTATGGCTCTTTACCTCTGTCCAACGATCATCGGCGCATGTCTGATCTGGCAACTTCCACGCACTAATCTGGCTGGGTGTTTGGCGGGTTATTACATGGTTCGTCTTCACCATTTGTCGCTCTGCAGAGATGTTGCTAACAAAGGTAGATTGGCGCCTTTGTTGGCTCTCTGGTGATTGCGCTTCAATTTCCGGCATCAAACGTAGGCGGCTACACCAAGCGTACTACTAGCACAGCTTTCGTCTTTCTGGGTTATTGTGTTGGTAACATCATCGGTAAGCCTCACCACACCGTCAAAGCCCATCTCAAAACCGCGGTTACTAACATCACCTACTTCAGGTCCACAAGCCTTCTTGGCGAAGGAAGCCCCAAAATACGAGACCGGTGTGAAGATGATCTTGGGATGCGCAGTCTCTCAAGTTGTGCTAGCGCTCTGCCTGCGAGCCCTGCTCTTACGGCGGAACGCCCAACGCGATCGCGAAGAAGCGGAGAGCTCACATGCTCAAGGCATGAATTCGAGCGATGTGGATTCCATTGAGGATACTACCGACTTCCACAACAGGAAGTTTCGGTATAGTGTATAAATTTGGTGTCGGCATTGGACACCCCGTCATAGGGCTGCTATAGTTAGCGCGTTGCCATATCCGATCAAAGAACGAGCATATTTGCTTACTTATGGTATTATTCATGTTCCATTTTGAGCCTCAGGGTCTCCTTCCCTCGCTTTCATCTCTTCTTTCTGCCTCTCCTTGACTTTCTTCGGTTTCTTCGCGCTAACCGGCCCATCGGCACTTCTATCCTTCCACTACCCACGACCTCACATTAGCCGCCTCTCTTTCTCCCAGAACCTTTCAGCAACTCACCATGCCCCCATACCGGTAATATGGGTATTCATCTTGCATCCCTTTTGCGTCTTCAACGCCACCAGAGACCGATTTCCAGCATGCACCAGGGCAGACGAAATGCCATTTTTGCGATTCGTCGATCTGGCAGCGCACGAGAACGTCGCGGGTTTTGAAACAGAGAGTGCAGGACTTTGTCATCGCGTAACAGTACGTATCGTGAATGAGAGTTCATAGTTTGAGCATTGAAGACGAAGTTCGCTACTAGCCGCAAGCGGAGAGAAGTGATGACATCATGAAGTCTCCTGCGCCGGCACAGACGTGCGCCCGCCATCCTCACACATTTCCCCAGGTTTTCCTTTCCTGGTACTCCCCATAATCCATGTAGCTGTCACCCCATCCCTTCGTTTTCACGGCGTGGCCGATGGACCATTCGAAGACAACACGGCCATGATCGATAACCGAGCGACCTAGACCTCAGGTAGGATCAAATCCTGATGAAATCGCTTCTGGAATCAAAAGCCACATGTCTAGCTCACGGATAGACCAACACACGCATGTCTTAGCTCGTCAAATGGACAAATAGTCCTAATACTTCACAATCTTCGCTGTACCGCACGGTGTTGATTAGCTGACGAATCCGCCATTTCGATGTTTACCGCTTAAGCGCCATTTCCGCACTCACACCTCAAAATTCATGGCACTCAAGCACTGTTCCTGCAGTTTAAACTTCGATGCGCGAAGACTTCGGACAGAACCCATGGCTGGTGATTGGCGGGTCTTGATTCAGGCCTCCCACTTCGCGGGGTTGCGCGCTCTAGACACTGACTTTGTAGACAAGGCTACACGAGGCTGGCTGAACATCGCTACTCTATACCACAATGGCTGAGCTACTGCGTAATACTGCGGCTGAAGATGTTTCCCATTCTGGACATACGTTGGCCAGAGCCATGCCATATTGGACTGAATCTCGCTGAGTATGACCCATTTCGTACGGTGGCTTTCTGGGCACATCACTAGTTATGGAAACCTCTGGAGTTACAGCAATGCTAGAGGCATCGAGAACACCAGTAGTCGTACTGGGCTTTGGTATACTGCAGTATTTAGATGCATGTCGAGTCGCAGTTTTTCTAGATCTACACGCACTCCTTCTACTTGAAGATCACACACTCAAGCATCTTTCATCACCATGAAGGTGGCCACTCTTCTTCTTTTGGTCGGCGCGAGTGCAGATCTCGTGCTTGGAACCGGTAGCTTCAGCACCAAAACAGTCTTGAATGTTTGTAAGACAAAGCTCGGGCCCACCGCAAAGAAACCAGTTCCCACGACTTCGCGATACCTGACCATCCCTTTGGTGGCGAAACGATGGATCACCAGCACGCCTTCCACGACTGTCACTCCAGCACCGATCACGGATACTGTAACGGGCGTCGTTACAGCTACCCAGACGACGACTGCACTCCAGATCACTGACACCGTTACGGATACCTTCGTCAGTACCATCACTGCGGTTGAGGAGACAACGACAATCATCACTTCCTCGGTCATCAGTACAGTCGTTAGCACCGCTATCTCGACTACAACTATTCCAGCACCCGCCGGCTTCACCCCGGTTCAGTCAACGATCCCCAACTCGATGAAGAGGCGCAAATCATCGCAATTCGAAAAGAAAGACCCCGTTGCCGAACGAGCTCGAGGAACTAAGGACTGGGTCAGAGGTGGATCAAAGAGATACCCAGTCAACGTCTACTGCGGAGGTATCGTCGCCGTGATAACTACAAAGACTAGCACCGTCACTGCAAAGAAGACGAGTACCATCACTGCTCCTACACCAACCTTCACCAACAGCGTCACTAGCACTGCAACAGCGACCATAACCGACTTCCTTGCTGACGCAGTTGTCACTAACACTGTCACATCTGTTACAGAAGTGACCTCCACCTCCACAGTATCGGTCTTCACCACAGTCACCTCAACTACCACTATTGTCGCTGAAGTCCCCGGCCCGACCATCTACGCCGCCTGCTCCACAAACAATATCGTGAGCACAAGCAATGGACGTAAGATCACCAACGGCAACGTTGGACCAGGAGCGACATTTAGCTCAGCCAGCGCGCCCACTGCCTACGACTGCTGCGTCGCGTGTATAACATCCCTGGCGTGTGGCGCATCGATTTTCTACTCGCAGGGGTGCCTTTTGTCCACATACGAAAACGGGAGGACGTGCAGCCAGAATGATGTGGCGTTCAACGGCGTTTTCGACCCCCAGTTTGACTTTGACCCTCTTTTTGTATCTAACGGGAACTGTGGGAAGGCTATAGTGCCATAAGTGGGTTGGACTGAAAAGCGATTCGATATAGGTGGCATGTTTGACTGCCCTCGTAGAGCTTTCGAATGCATGCGCAAATGATTCTTGTCATTGATCTGCCTTTGCATCACTTCATGCGCTTTATAACATCTACAGTAGGATATTCATTTACTCTATACACGAGAATGCGAACTCTAAGGTGCTTGCCTACTAAAAATTGTCGTTGTGATGTCATATTCTTAGGATTGAGAGGTGATGATAACTACCCCGTTATCCCGTGACCGCCAGCTCCCCATGCTTTTCCTTCATGACATTCCTCCAACCCTCATCTAGAAGCCACTCTGCATCTTCTTTTCTCACAACATCTTCAATGCGCAGACCATTCGTCGCAAGTGCGCTGCACCATCCATCCCATGCGCCACAGCGTCTGGCGTACATACTCGGGGTCAGACCGTCATGGTCGCGGTGATGCACATCAACACCCGCTCTTATCAACGCATTTGCAATCTCTTCGACAGCGACCGGATCTCCTGGACTACTTCCATGATCAATAACGCGGTAGCAGCGCTGTATCCTGTTGCGGCCAAGACTCCCGATGGTGTTGATGTACGCAGCGTCGACTTCGAAGAGTGGAGCCATGATGCTCGATACTGAGGGCCAGTCCCACGGGTCGTCGTTCATGATTACGGAGTTGGAGATGAGACCTTCTTGCTGCAATCGTTGAATTTGTTGTCGTAGTAGGGAGCGCGGTCTTCCTTGGTAGTAGTCCCAGAGCAGCATGTTCATTGTCGTCTCGAAGAGGAATGAAGATGACTCGTATACTTGGGGGATGATGTAGTCGACGGTTTTCTCGAACGGGGCACGGTCGTCATCAACTATCGAGCGCACGAAGAGACCTGCGACTATGCTGACGTCGTGGCTGGTGGATGTTATGAAAAGGTTGCTGTGGGGTACTGGAATTGCTTACTTCAGGTTCGATACCCCAATACCTTGGGTTGCCAAATAGTCGAGCAGATCTACCCGTGTGTTCTCTGCAGCATACTGTATTATGCAAGTCAGCTTCTTTCATCGCTGTATTAGAGACCGTTAGGGTAAAAGCTCACATATAGACACAGGTTTCTTCCTTCCCGGTTAATCTCATACGGAGAGATGACGCCTCTCCGTAATGCGTCGTCAATCTCTTCGACACCAGCAGATGCAAAAAGCTGGTTGTAATGCGTCTCGGACTCAGCCAAGGTGAACACACTGAGTTGAGCGCAGAGCCCCGGATTCGACGCATTAGCTGCGTTACGAAGGAAGTGGGCGTGAATGGCGTGGACTGATTGGCCAATACCACAAGTGAACGTGAAACTGGCCTCGTTATTTGGACGTTTGAACTTGGCTTTGACCGCTCGTCGAGGAGACTGTATACGTAGACTACCGAAGGGAGTAGTTTGTGTATATGCCCTTTGGCCCGCGATTACTGGCGCGCTGAGATAGAGGTTTGCGTAGTCTGCTTCCGGCGTATCTGAACTGGTGTTTGACTCTTCAATAGCACGCCCAGATACCTTAGAATGATGTGGCATTGTCTCCTCAGAGTAGTGCCAACGGCCGAAAGAGGCTGCGGAAGATCCGCGGTGTCTTGTCGCTTCTTCTTGCGATGCTGATGCGACAAGGTGGTCGAACTCGTATCGTAACCAATCGACATAGTGAGGTGGAAATCGTTCGATACCATCGGTCAGCAGGTTTCGGAATGCTGCCTCTAGATGCGGTTTGACGAGAAGTAGATAGGCCATGATCATGTCACGACGTTCACCAAAGAAGAAGATGTTTCTCATCCATCTCTGAGTGCGAGGGATGCGATACCTCTCAAACTCCGCGGCTATGGCATCGCCGATCTTTTCTGATAAGACTTCGCGAGTCTTTTGATGCTCTCTCACTTGCTCCTGGTGGGTGATTGCCAAGATCTTCGAAGCCCGTTTTGTTTCCTGGTAGTGATGGACCGACATACGTCCTAGAAGTTCTTGTCCTTGAATCAACGTGGCTTGGTTTTTGTCCTGCCTTTGCAGTAGTTCCAGGTGTTGATCGTCTGATCTTTGCCTAGGAGCCTCGTTAAAACAACGTCATCAAATGATGCGACGAGGTGCGTACCTGCTTGCAAAATGCAAAGAGTTTGCTAGTAGACTTTTCGATCGTTCCAGATTGTTGAACATCTTGCTGATCTTGCGCTCATCCAGAACGTACTTCACCCTACTCCAGGTCTTGCTGCCACTCCTGAATCTCGCGCTTAGTATCCTCAAGTTCTGTAATTCGCGTTGCAAGCTCTTGAGTGCAGATTCGAAAAGTGCTACCATGTGATTCGTCGCGTTGGGTTGTTTCCGACAAGCCAGGGTATCGAGAAGCTGTTTCACGGTTTCGGCCAGTAGCGCAGTCTCTTTTACGGTAGTACAAAGTCTGTCGATCTCTTCTGGCGCACCTGCGATGTCGCGTAAGAAGCCATGGACCTCTCTTCCCATTCGCACAACAACATCGGCTACACCGATGATTGCGAAGATCCCCGCGGCGACCTCGAGACTACCCGACATGATGGACGATCTGATAGTAATGGGTATTAGGCATGACCAGAACTTGAGGACGAAGGGAGACTCCACGGAAGAGCTTCCAGGTTATGCATATGTCGCTGCAGGTAGGTGCGACCACATCGGGAACCGAAATGGGGGCGGCTGATGCAGCTTACCCACGTGTGTTGGGGCGAAACAGCTCGCAGCCTATCAATCGTCCTTGGCCCCTGCCACACACTACCGATACGGATGTATCGGGACAGTTTTGATTGTATTCCAGGTAACATTGGTGCCTTGAGTTGGAAGGTGTGGTCGAATTAAAAGCTGTCGTGCCGTGCCAAGGCAACGTCGCATCGTACCTTCCCACTGTAGCATGACCAAACGTCATTTCCTGCAGGTTCACACTCTTCATGCTCGCTCCTTATCCTCAATATCTTTACATAGTTGATGCACGCCTCCTTCAACAAGCCCTCTTACCATCAAAGCATGCATCCACCTCCCGAACTTCCCCTCCAAGACCCCAGCGCTTTCCTTCCCCTTCTCGCGCCACATGACCGTATGGTTGATGAAAGCAATTCGCTGTCTCTCTTCTTTGACTTCAACTACCAGCATGCCATCCACCGATGGTCCTTTGTAACTTGCAGGCGCATCCAGAGTCAAGGCAATACGCTCGTCGTCTCGAGAAGTCACCACGTAGACCCCGCACACACGGTCTCCAGGTGCAAATCCGAGGGAGCGGCTATATGCTGCGTTGAAGGATTCTCTATCTTTAGCGTCTTTGATCATATGCCAGATACCCCATGCAGGAGGACGCGTCGAAAAGATAGCCATGGTGTGTCGGAGGAACGGCACCAGCAGCTCTTCTGGTTTTGAACCCCCAAAAGATTCTCTGGCGACTGTCTTACGCGCGCATTCATGATGAACGATGTAGTCTGCCGGCCTCGTTCGTGCGATGCTGGGAATGGCGATCGTCTTGTCTTGAAGGTAAGGCGTGGTCTGACATTGCACCTTCCTGGAAAGAGTTGCGTGTAGATACGCAAGGTACAAAGCTGGGCCTGTGAATAGCAAAGAGACAAGAAGCACCTTGTAGGCCATGTTCTAGGAAGGTTTCCCACTCATGTCTCTGCGAGCAGAATGCTAAACGATGGAATGGAACGCGGGGCATGGTGAGCTTCAGCCTTAGAGCTTCAGCTAACGTGTCGACCAATCAAGCGTGATGCACGGATCCCGAGGGCGAGAAGACAACACAAGGCGAATATTCACGTCAGCAGCCACCAACATGCTGGCGGGGCGCTACGTAGACCCTAGCTCCAGCTGAAATTCTTCCATGTGACATTCTGGAATGAACAAAACTGTGTTTGCGAACGGCGTCGACGCTCGGATGGTTTTGACACGTGGTGGCTGTTAAGTTTGGTGAGGCTGACGAGGTTGCACGTCGAAGAGATTCAAATGAGGTCGCCATGCGTTTGTGTGCACATCCTGAATCATTTCAAAACAGCCATGGCATAGCACGACCGCGACGCACGAGGAAATCTGAACAGAAAGCAGCAACGCTGGTGGAGAGGGACGGACGAAAGCGCAAAATCGCGATCGCCTTTCGACGCACGTCCCCTAGTTAGGGGCCCACTTTCCCCTTTCGAAACGGTCGCAGTGCGCCGGGAGATTCACCCGCCCAGCGCGATCTTCATTTCCCCGCATTCCACGACAACCATCAACCACCATAGTACAAGCTGCGTCACGATGCAGCAATACCACATATTATCAAATCAATCAGAATGCGAAACTTGAAATGTCAGACTGGTGCTACAACTGCAGATTGTATTGACGATGACTACAGCTATATGTGTGCTTTCCCCTATGTCTTCCAGTTTGGCTCCATGTTTACTCGCCTCGACCATCAATTCCCGACTGATTCACCGCCAACTTCTTGATCTAGTAATGAGGGCAACCGGAGGGCACAGCAGGGCTCTCGGCAGGAGGAGCAGGAGCAGGAGAGGGAGTGGTAGCGGGGGGAGATCCGCCACCGGGGGCGCCGGCACCGGGGCTAACGTCCTGGCACAAAACAGCCTGGCCGGCAACGGGGATGGTGCAGCACTTGGCTTGGTTGCCAGCAGCAGCGCAGCCGGCGATGAAGCCAGTGGTGCTGGTGGGAGTGGTGGCGGCTGGATGGCAACGTTAGCATGATTGCGTGTATGAGTGGAAGGAATGGAAGGCAAAAACTTACGAACTGCGCAGTTCAAGCCGACAACACCAAGAACGTCAGTGGCACAGCACTGGGGGCTGTTGTAGAGGCCATCGGGGCAGACGGGCTCTGTTCCAGTGGAAGCGAAGGGAGCGGCGGCGGCACCGGCAACGAAGGCGAGGATGGAGAAGCGCATGTTGATGGTTGGAAGTTGTTTGGTTGGTAGAGAGTGAAGAGTTGGTGGAAGTGAAGGTAAGAAGCTGAGATGATGCTTGATGCTGTGGATGCTCAACTTGAAGTCCAGAGTCTGCCTTCTTTATACTTCTTCGTTGACATTACTTCGAGGCCCGTTCGCTTGGCGGTCTGAGTAGTGCCGAGGAGTATCTCCGTCCGTCTTCTCGTATCCTAAATTGCGGTTGTTCTCGTCCCCGGTTCATTGAACGTGGAATGTGCCCTGCAAGGTCGTAGCATGACGCTGTACGACACTTCGAGTCCCGTCTCGGCTCTTTGCTTCCCCAAACCATCTGCAGAGCAATAAGAAAACACTGGACCTCCACCAATGCCAACGAAGAGGCTCTGCATTCCTCAATAAAATCGATAAAGGTTCTTTACCCAGTGGCCCGAGGAGGTATGGTTTTCCTTGATCTTCTTTGGAAGTGCCATACATTCTTTGCATGTGCTGTAAGACGTGCAGCTACGCGATGCCCAAGAGCTTCCCCGCAACTCCAAATGATGTCGCTTGCTCGTACTCTAGACGTCCTGAGTCACGATCGACGCTCTACAAAGAGCGAACAGGGCGATGGACCGGGGGTCGATGCGTTTAGGCGCGAGCGTGTGTTGTGAACCCTCACGCTGATGGCCCACTAGCTTGTGTAGTTGCAGCATCGTGACCCGAAAGTAAGTTTGTGACATATGTCACATCACTAGTTGGAAGATTTCTTTGCTTACCAAGGGCGAGTGGATAAAATGAGTGATGAAGCTTTGCTCATCATACAGCGTCTCCTTGCATCAGATGCAGCAATACGGGTTGTGTGTATGCTGATTAAGACAGAAAGCCTCCACACCGAGAAGCGCTCTGGGACCCGATCTTGGGAGACGGGCATCGTCCTGCAAGGTACGGTGTGGTTTGCTGTCACAGCACAGGCCTACAGTCGGGTCTTGTCGCCTCGTGGGTCTCGGGATCATGCCTCGTTACGAAAAGTATATTCGTTCGCCATGAGGCTTCGTCATAGTGCTGATTTCCGGCAAAGACGGACGTCGACAATTGTACGTATATGGCGCCGTATTAGCCTTATGTGTCTGATTGGGTAATCCGCATGACCCGGCGCCAGGGCAACTCGAGGAGTACTACCAAAGGGTCGGATGCGGCACCGGATATAGTGTTAGATGAGTGATTGGCAGGCACAAACAAAGTTAGCAAAGTGAAGTTGACAGCAAATGGATACATCATGCTTCATGCCGGCAGCGAAGTCAAAATTGAGTTGCGGGGAAGGTAGCCTGCCGTTGGGCTAGGTAATTAAACCTTGCTTAGCGCATCGGTTCCATATGTCAGCTCCACATCCATCTTACCCGAGCCATGAGGGCTGGTGGATCAACCGAACTCTGTTGTTTGCCACCGTCTAGACCAGAGAGATTGGTCCGGCTATACTTAGACAGCTGAGCCAGAGAACCATGCTGCAGGCGCAAGACCGTTCAATGTCTTTGAAAACCGGGCGCGGAATCCTGCGTGCATACGTTGTAGATGCCAGATTCGTCGGTCGATCTTCATGAGCTTTGGGTGCTCCGTAATCGGCTGATTAAAGCGCCCGCTACGAGAAGGCCCACGAGGACACCACTCTGCACTGGCGCAAACAGAGCGGATCGGAAGATCACCAGAGTACCGACGACGACGAAGATGATGGGAAGGACGACGAACGGACGATAGGGTCGGTCCAACTCCGGTTCTCGGCGACGGAGTATAAGCAGCCCAGCCACTGTGCTTACGTAGAAGACCCATTCAGCCATCCCAACGAAAGTCAAAAGTGCCCGAAAACTACCTGTCAGTATGTAGGCAAGGGTAACGACAAGGGCTAAACAGTTGGCATAGCTGTAACTCGTGTCAATGTCTTGGCAAACATCGTGTTCCTGAGTGGCTTACATTGGGGCGTCAAGGTTGGATACAATGTTGCTTTCTGCTACAGCCCTCTGCGTCATCGGCAGTCCTCGCTTGCTGAAAACTGCAGGTAGGTACTGCACATCGGGGTACGACGTTAGTATATCTCTCACATGCATTTCGTACAGGAACACGTACATGACGTTGCGATGCAGCAATTGTCAGTCTTCCGACTGAGAAGACATTGCTCGTGATAGACCCTGCGCAAGATATGGCGACAAGGATAGTGACGAGAATACCTGCAGGCCTGCCCAAAAGAGAGGTAGCAGCAGCGACAGCTACTGCGTTGTTGCTGCTCAGCTTGTCCCATGGTACAAGGATGTAGTAAGCGACGTTCACAAGTTCGAATGAACTGAGAACGACGATCATCGCAGCTTTGATCGCTTTTGGAAGCGCACGACCTGGATCGCGGATTTCGCTTGCGACGATGTTGGCCTAGAACACACTGTCAGACCATACTGTTGAGTTGGTAAGGCCATACACTCACGTTATCCCATCCATCGTATGCCCACAGTCCTCCGTAAATCGCAGCGCAGTAGTGGCCGTAACGGTCCCAGGTCCCTATGGAAGCCCAATCGATGGTCTGGCCATCCGACACTGTCGATCTAGTCTGGAACCAGTTGCGTGAGTACCAGTCGGACGGCCCGGAAAAGGAAGAGTTCGGATTGATCAGATGTGCAGCCACAGCTACCATGCCGCTCAAGACGATAAGCCCAACTGTGGACAGCTTGAAGACCGTGAAGGACTCGCTCAGTCGCATTGTGAACCGGGTGTTGATGGAATTGAGCAACACCATGGAGACAAAAGCTGTGACAGCGATGAGCTTGAGTACCTTTGACTCGGGTAAGTCGCCGGTATTGGACGTAACGGAACCTATAGACTCTGCGATGACGATGCTTTGAATAGCCATGGACGACGGCTTCACACCGAGGATGTACACCCACGCCATCAGAAAGGCGGCAGTATCTCCATAAATATGGCGCAGATACTCTTGCATACCGCCGTTCAATGGCAGCGCGGCACCAAGCTCAGCGAAGGATGCTGCTCCTGCCCATGATAGTAGCCCACCAAGGACCCACACAAGGAGAGCAGCCCCGGGCGATGGTACATTGCTATCGACCTGAGCTGGCGACGCAAAGATTCCTGAGCCGATTTGGAGAGTGACAAGAACGGCGAACGCGTGACGTGTAGTAAGCTGTTTGGGCAGTTGCTGGGACGCCTGTGATGAGGACGAAGAACGGCCAAGCAGTGGCTCGTCCTCGGTCGCGTTCGGTTTGGCAGCGCCTTGGTTTTCAACACGCCTCCGTTGGCGTTCGTCGTCCATCGTGAGCCGATCCAAATTTCTCGTCCGAGAGTTGCAGAGACAAGAGGGCAGCAAGTCGTTTTGCTAGTAGAACGGTCCTTCTCAGGGCCTTGGCGAGCGGAAGGCGCTAGACGATGTCACAAGACATTCGGCACGCGCTATGGCGGCTCTGTGTGTATGCGCGAGCCCTGACGCATTTCGTAAAGTGGGATGCTATGTACATCGTAAGCTGCGTGGGTGGATGTCGCTAAGAGATGTGTAGTCGCGGCATCGTGCTTTCCTTAGATGGAGCCCAGGTGTGGCGCACTAGCGGAAAAGGCAGGTATCAAATAAGACTCCGAATTCGAATTACGAAGACAGTAGCACTTATGATCAACGGACTAAGTTCTCAATCAAAATCCAACACCCTATCTCCATTTGACACGGGTTCCATATCCCTCACATCACCATCTCGTCTACAGGTGTGGCGCAAGTGTGGCTGAAAAGCTCGGACTGGTCCTTCAGCGCCCTGACACCCCTCTTCGCTTCCTCGCCAACAACCAGGTACGTCAACACCACGCCCGCGTTTCGAGCTCCCTACTGCGCCTTCATAAACTTGACCCGCCCCAGACACTGAACCATGGACGCAAATCAAAACGACGAGCTTTACCCCATCGCCGTGCTCATCGACGAGCTGAAGCACGACGACGTTATCCTCCGCCTCAACGCCATCCACCGACTGAACACAATTGCCCTCGCCCTCGGCGCCGAGCGGACACGAGAGGAACTCATACCCTTTCTCGATGGTAAGAGCCTGTCTGGCGCCTGCGTCACGTGTGGACTGGCTAACGGCAGTATCCAGAGTCGGTCGAGGATGAAGACGAGGTTCTCACAGCATTGAGCGAGGAACTTGGCAAGTTTGTCGAGTATGTGGGCGGCCCAGAGCATGCACACGTGCTTTTGTCGCCTCTCGAGAACCTTGCAGCCATAGAGGAGCCTCTTGTCAGAGAGAAGGTGCGCGCAACAATTGCCTCAGCCCGGCCGCCAGCTAACACGTGCAGGCTGTCGAATCGCTCAACAAGATCTGCGAAGAGCTGTCGCAGCAGCAGATTGAAGAGAACTTCATACCCCTCGTCTTGCGCCTATCAAAAGCCGACTGGTTCACGTCGAAGATCTCCGCGACTGGACTCTACCAGACCCCCTACACTCGCGCTACACCACCCTCACAAGAAGCCCTCAGGCAGCACTACGGCCAGCTAGTGCACGATGATACCCCCATGGTCCGGAGACAGGCGGCCAACAACCTCGCCAAGTTCATTAAGGCGATGCCGCCATCCATCGTCATTGAAGAAATGATTCCTCTTTTCCAGCACCTCGCCGCCGATGACCAGGACAGCGTCCGTCTCCTGACTGTCGACATCCTCATTGCCATCGCCGAAGCAGTACCCAAGGAGCAGCAGTCGAGCCACGGTGTCCTACTGACTGCGCTACGGAGTCTGTTCGAGGACAAGAGCTGGAGGGTGCGATACATGGTGGCAGACCGATTTGAGAAGGTGCGTTTGGCTTGCAGCGAGAGAGGGCATGCGCTAACGGGTACAGATTGCAAAAGCCGTCGACGACGAGGTTGTCAACCGAGACCTTGTACCCGCATTTGTCAAGCTCCTCAAGGATACCGAGGCTGAGGTCCGCAGCGCCATCGCAGGACAGATTCCAGGTACGTTACATGCAGCAAAAGCGCGACACACGGGCTGACCATTACCAG